CATCGCAAATTCGGGATCGAACACGTCGTTCTCCTCGGATATCATTCCGCGAGCGACGGCCCACGTCGTCGTTAGAAGTGCAACGAAGGCGAACGTATTCATTCCCGGGAACAGTTCAAAGTCGACGAACATCTCGGGGTCGGAAAATCCCACGATGGCCAAAACGGCAATAAGCGCGCCAGAAAAGAACTGAACCGTTCGGGCGGCCGATTCTGTCTTCTTCTTTGGAAACTGATCTATGTAATGTTTCGCGTAAGGATACGACATGTTTAAGCGTTCCTCGAATAGGTGAGGGAGCTCGTTGAATTCGCGGAACTTCCACTTGGCAAGCGGCGTATATTGCCTCGCCCCTAGAGATGAGGTATTGGTTTTGAATTCCTAGCGGATAGGTAAGCATAATGCAATTCAGGCGTCTGATCGGACGATACTCACATTGTAGTACGTGAAGATGAAGTCGACAAGGAGGGCAGAGGCTACAAACGGGGCGAATATGAGGTTCATCACTGCTGCAAATGCGAATCTCGTTTTCATTTCCCTGCTAAGGTGTCCGCGATGATCAGATTTGAGGACTCGTTGATGAACCTGGCCACCCTCGTTGAAGACTAGGTCTAAAACGCCGAACTGAACCGTCCACTCTAGAGATTTCGAGAATAATTGCCGACTTCGTAGAAATGGAACTGGGGCCGTGAGATCTAATATGTCCTTGTTGAAGAGAGCAATGATATAGTTCTCTCGTCTCATTAACCTGTTTGCAATATCGTGGGCATCGAGCCTTTCTTTGGATTGGCTTGCTATGTGCTGCCCCAGCTGCTTAGACAAGAAACGGCGTTGCGATGGTGTTATATTAGTAGCTGTCTTCACATTCTCGTCGCGAAGGGCGGTGATCTTGGCTACAACATCCTGCCACGAGACGGTTTGCATGTCTTCCTCGGGGATTTCCAGGAGGTAGACGAAGAAATCGCGTATGTGCATCAAACGCGGTATGTCAAGAATCCACTGGATGCTCTTCCAGACAAAGTAAAAACTGCAAACCCAGAGACTCAAGTTCCATATTCCCCACATGTGCTTTGTGCACTGGGGAATCATGATCTGCGACAGACTCTTACTATCGCGAATCTTGCTGTAATCTATACACTGCGATAATAGCGTGAGTAAGGTCGCAACGAAGATAACCTTCAATAAATGCAGGGCCCTGTCGAGCAGGATGCACCACATTCCAGCTCCTAGGTAATAGTCGTAGACATCCCTGATGAAGACGTCTAGGTTGGAAACGTTGGCCCATCTGAACATGGCCTTGTCTTTGGGACTGCCTGTGAATCCCGGACCCCTCACAGTGCCGCCTCTCTGGGGCTGCGCGCTGGTCGACGGACCATATTCTTCGTCTAGATGTAGTCTCTGATGCGCCTGCGCAGTTTCCCACTGCGCTTGTATCCTCCGGTTTGAAGAGTGGCGTCTGGTAGAATTCCGTGCCTGCTGAGGGCTTGTCCTGTATTGGTTTGGCTTGGATGTGGCGGCATCGGGACCTTCTACTAGGAGAGAGGCGGGAACATCGTTATCTATATCATCTTCTTGTGTGAGCCACCGCGGTCTCGCATCGTGCGAGTTTACTCTTGCAGCGGTGCGACGAGCTCTACTTGCGGCAGCGACAGGGCTACGTGGTGTGGATATATGGCTATCATCGAGACTAGGACCACCAGCATGGTCGAGGTCATCGTCTTGGAAATGTTGGGCTAAGTTCTCTTCGTCTAGATCGAGGCCAGCTCTACTTTCGACATCGTCATCTTGACCGTTTCTAAGCCGGTCGTACAAGGGTCTATCGTCGCCGGACGGTACGAGGCGGGAGAAGAGGTTCGGAGGCATCGTATCGGCTCATGGGTATGTCGAATTTAAGAGGGTTCTGTGTTTCTTCTTTATCATGATCGAACTGGCAGCATAGGAAGAGTAGGGCACATATATATTAAAAAGAGGAGCCGTAGAGCGTCTCAGAGTTTAAGACGAATGCCTAAGCTACCCGAGTTAGGTTTAACTTGTGGCATAAGGCAAAGGTTATAAGCTCGAAGTTAGAGCTTGAAATAATATGAAGCATAGGTAAGGACCTTTTACTACATGCCATTAATTATGACATAGAACATTGAAGGTCCTATGATTTAGGGATGTCTGTAAAGAAGAGGCTAAGCATCAGGTGTGCTTTTTACTAAAAATGGTGAACAAGTTGTAGTTGGTCACCCGGACTCTGAACTGTCAAACCGGCCTTATGACTTGAGGTTTACAGGCAGCCGCGCGCGTTCATGGGTTAAGAGGTACCTGTCTGCCCGAGCGCTGGCATCCTTATCACTATCGTTATCGTATAACTAGATGAAGTCATTTGATTCGATAAGGCGTATTCCGTACATGGCATTACCTAAGGTACTATACCTAAATGTACCTAACCCACAAAACTTGCACTCATTTTTCCAGCTGCCAAACATAATTTTCCAGGTGGCGCCTCTCACACAGTGGACATTGACATATTCATTGACATATTCAACAACACAACATCCTAGGTTACGATATTCAATATTCGAGATATTCCCTAATAATTGGGCCCTTTGTTTCTTTGAATTTAATCCCTTAGTAAGATGGAAATGAGATGACGTAAGTTAAACTAGTCCGGGATCGTCTAAAGTAATTGGAAGTAATTGGAAATATGAAATATGGCCTCAGATGGCCTTGCCTCACCACGTCTACCTGGACATGATGGGTTACCGTTGTCGCCTGCGAGCGCCTCATTTCCGGGCCGATCGTCGAATCCACTATCGTCTAAGGTGACATCTGTTTTATCCACCTCATATGCCGATGCTGAGTTCCGCGAGTCTCTGGCTTTGCTGGATGAGCGCGGTATCAGCAACACCGCCGACACCCGGAGACAGTTACGGTTAGACGTTCAGAAAGAGGTCATCGACAGTAATGGGAAAATAATTACCGAGTTCGGCCGGGTAGCCGACCAATTAAGGAGGATCGGTACCACTATTAATAAACTCAACAATAATTATCAGGAGATGAGACGTCATGCCACAGCGGCTCACGAGTCGACCTCTACTATGCTCGAGGAAGCATCTTCTCTCATGGCCCAGAAGAAGAACATAGAGACGAAGCAACAAGTCTTAAAGGCTTTCCGTGAGCACTTCCTTCTATCGGAGGACGAGATCGCTTCTTTAACCTTAACGGCTGAGCCTGTCGACGACCGCTTCTTCGCCGTCCTATCCAAGGCAAAGCGCATCAGGAAAGACTGTGAATTTCTGCTTGGTTTCGAGAGTCAGACTCTAGGCCTAGAGATCATGGACCAGATTTCCAAGAACTTGAACCTGGCCATGCAGAAGCTGTATCGCTGGGTCCAAAAGGAGTTTAAGACGCTCAACCTCGAAAACCCCCAGATCAACTCGTCTGTGCGCCGCGCCATCCGCGTGCTTGCCGAGAGGCCCTCCCTCTTCCAAAGTTGTCTAGATTTCTTCGCCGAGGCCAGGGAGCAGATCCTATCTGATTCTTTCTACCTCGCACTGACAGGTACCTCCGCAGCCGGTACCAAGGATACCTCCGTAAAGCCGATCGAGCTCGTAGCTCACGATCCGCTGCGGTATGCGGGCGACATGCTGGCGTGGACGCATTCAGCCGCTGTCAGCGAGCGCGAAGCCCTTGAGATCCTGTTTATATCCGACGGTAATGAGATTGCTAAGGGCATCCGAGAGGGCCGGGAGAACGAACGATGGATGCTGATGGCCGACGAGGCAGACGGGCCTCCAGAATTCGACGCCGTCAAGGCCCTAAACGAGCTGGTCGACCGGGACGTCTCCGGCGCGGCGCGTATATTAAGGCAACGGGTTGAGCAGGTTATCCAAACCAACGAGGAGACCATCTTAGCATACAAGCTAGCCAACCTCCTCGGGTTTTACCGCGTGACATTTTCCAAGCTTCTCGGCGAGGACTCGGTCCTGCTCCAGTCAATGAGCAACTTGGAGTCCGAAGCGCTACGGCAATTCCGCTCTCTAATGCGCGACCACATCACCACCCTCGAGGGCGAATTCCAGCACACGCCATCCGACCTCGGACCACCCGAGTTCCTGCAAGACTGTCTCAAACAACTAACAGCCATCATGAAAACCTACGAGACCTCACTAGCCGCAGCTGGCGACCGCGAGGCGGACTTCGAGCCCATCCTAGCCGAATCCTTCGACCCTTTCTTCGCCGGCTGCTCTAACATGGCCAAGAATATCTCTGCACCATCTAACTCCATCTTCCTCATAAACTGCCTCCTCGCCGCCCAGACCGCTTTCGAGCCCTTCCAATCCTTCACGCGCACCCGTCTCGAGCGTCTACGCTCTACAATCTCCGACCACAGCGCCCGCCTCGTCGAAAACCAATACGCCTTTTTCCGCGCCGAATCTTCTCTCGAGCCCCTATTCACGGCCCTATCACCCCTAAGCGACGCGCGTCCCTCCGACGTAGCCAAGCTCCCCTCTCTCCCAGAACTTCAACCAGAAGCCCTAGCGCGTGCAGCCCAGGGTCTAGACGACTTCCTACCATCGGCGGTCATGGACGCGCTAGAGAACGTCAAGAACCTCCACGACGCGCGGCTGGCGCGTGAGGTTACCGAGGAGGCGGCGGATCGGTTCTGCGCCGACTTTGAGCATGTCGAAGAGTTGCTTGTTGCGGCGGATGAGGCGGCTGAGGAACGAAGGGGAGGGAACAGTAGGGATGGAGAGGAGAGAGCGTTGAAAACGGTGTTCCCAAGGACAACAGGGGAGATTAGGGTTTTGTTGTCCTGAGGGGTTGGAAGGGAGAGTGCTGCCTTGGTATATAGGAGGGAAAAGGAGAAGAAGTAGGTATATGAGTAGCCTGGTCCGTGTTGCGTGTATAGTTTGGTATATTACTAGTTATATACCTACTATTCGCGGCAAAGTAGACGGACGGGAAGCAAAAAAAAAAAAAAGCCAAAAGGAGTTGGAATTATAAAACCAGGCACGGCACGGCACTGCACGATATAGCATGGTAAGCTTTCTCTTTATGATTAGATTAGGTAGGTAGGTACCTACCTGTATCATATTATCATATATATATCCATCCATACTTAGCCATAAAGTAGTCGCCAGCTACTTATCTAGGTTAGGTGGTACCTATGTAATTAATATCCCTCCTATATACAAGACCAGCGATTAAATACATCAAGGCCCACGTATATCTTCATCTTTCTCAATCGACTGATATACCTTTCCCTTTTCCCTTTCCTTTTCCTTTTGCCTTTCCTCCTCTCCCCCCTCTTCCTCCTCCTTTATCCTTCCCCTTTCTGTCCCCCCATCCCCTTTTCCTACACCAACCCCTTCCCCACCCTCTTCCCCCCTACTCCTCTTAACAGGCCACGCCTCGACGTTCGCACTGGGCCTCCTCGCGCGCTTCCCCACGATCTCGTCGTCGACGTCGTCCAGGTGCTTCAGCGCCGCGGCCAGCCGTCGACGCGCCGCGATCTCGCGGTCGCTGCTGCTGGGGCCAGGCCGGTAGAACTGCTGCACCACGCCTACGGTCGCGTGGTAGCATTCGTAGAGGAGGAGGCGCGCGGACGCGCTGGCTGGGTCGTCGATGAGGTTGAGGTTGAGGTTGGAGTGGGATGGGTGGTGGAAGCCGCGGAGGAAGTCTGGGGTGGGGTCTTGGCTGAAGATCTCGCTGAAGAGAGGGTCCCCGAAGATGCTGTTGCTCCAGTCGCGGAGGCCGGTGACGGTGATGGGGTGGTGATTTGCGTCGGGTGGTGGTTCTATGCCCTTGCCCGTGCCTCCTGGGGTTTGTTCTGGGGTTGTTTTTTCGAATATGTCTTCTGTTTTGTATTGTTTTATATCTTGGGTGTGTATTAACTGTTTGTTGTTTTCGTCTTTGCTTATACCCGGGTTTAAAGTCCGTGATACTAGTATGTTCAAGTCATCGGCAGCGTCTAGTATTACCAGCCGGGCAGTAGTTACACCGTCCAAGAGATGGCCTAGTCTATTAAAATAGCTTCTGATTGGCTCGTAGCTGATTGTAACGGCCATATCCTCCGCGTCTCGTAGTACGCCTTCTAGGAGAGAATGAAAAGTTTGTTTCCATGTTCTCGAATTACGAAGGCCGAGGTTAGCCAGTTGCGCCGCGTGTAAGTCGGTGGACGGTGGCTGTGGACTGATAACCGCCGTGGCCGGTCCGAAGAGCCCATCCGGTGACACAAAACTCGAAAGTTGTTGTACGAGTTGGCCTTTTTGAAAGTCTATCCTATTTCTCTCGGATGGCGTTAAGGGCGTGGGGAGTTCACGGATCGTGACCCCTCTTGCCGGCTCGAAGATGTTGAATGGAGAACCCAACTCCGTTGACGAAGGGACATGGGTGACGAGGACGGGAAGATACTTAAGCACATCTCGTCTCAAGTTTATTTCTCTCTCAAAGCTACTCTCTAGTTCATCCTTCACCGATGTGCCTTGAGCGTGTTTATCGGAGCTGATATTTCTCCGGGTTATATTCTCAGCCTTAATGGGAGGCTCAAGGACTGCTTCGAGAACCCACTTTGTTACAAGGGTCTCTGAAAGATTCAAGCCCCTTTCAGACCGGAGTAACCTCAGCGTCGGAGGCGGTGGCAGGCTGAGAACTAATGTTCTACCATCCGAGATCTTAACGTTGAAAAATCTTAGAAGCCGACAGGACGGTAACGGGCTAACAGACTCGACGGTAATATTTGGTAATGCTTTTTGTATTGCCAAGCGCATTAATTCGAGCGGGTTGATTCGGTCCATGGAGGATATAGGAAAAGATCGCTGGGCTCGTGAGACAGAAGATGGTTGGTGACGTGAAGGAAGCCATCTTGTGGAACAGAATAGGCCGGGTACTTCGAGGCCCCCTTTGTACGGACGAGCTTGAGCAGGAGGCTCGGGAATGTGGAGTGAAAGAAAGTGACCACCGGGGCCGACGGAGCAAGGGTCGACTGATGCTGCTAAAGCCACAGTTGAATTTAGGTGCATTACTTGTACTTGTTGCATCTGCCTTTCTATAGGGCAAAGTACTATAATAAGGGCAGATAATGGCTCAAAAGAGAAGGTTGACGGGTGCTTGCTCTTCGGTGAATGATAGGAATACTCAAACCGGACATATGCCGAGATGAGAACCTACTTAAATGAACTCGGCAGCAAATACCTAAGCCCGCAGCTTGGCTTGATAACCCCAGATCTGCAAATCTATGGAAAAAAGCACACAGCTAGTTTATGGGATCTGTAGACGTTGGCGTCTAGGACATCAGGCTCTTAAACGATTCTAGGTAGCAAACAGACAGGATAAGGTAACATCCTAAAATAACGAGCAACATCGTCGATATAAGAGCCTTTATACAAAGAAACGGAGGCCACATACAGTCAGCAGTCTCAGCATAGCAAGCTAATAGACGAGTGTTGTCCGATGGGATCCGCAGGACATGTTTAGCCAAGGGCAAAAGAGCGGTATTACACGATACGATACGATACGTATGAAGGGACGGCAGGAATACCTAGCGAGCGAGGCTAATAGAAGATACATCAACTGTTGTTGGCGAATAAAGCGCGTCGACCAGGCGAAGAGAGAGACACCCGACTCGCGGCTCAGAAGGGAACTAAGCTAATAACAGGTAATACTCGCCTAAGTAAGGCGCAAATAAGTCAAAGGAAGTGGAGCTGCCATCTTCGAATGGCTGCAGCCATGTACATTGTACGTCGAAAGGGACAAAGGCATGTTATCCATGCCTCTACTAGAGAGTGAAACGACGAGGTATGATGGAAGCGTTCCACTGAAGGGCAATAAGTATCCGAACGCCAAGCCGCCAGGCGAGAGATTCCAGACTTCTCGAAGCCCAAGTGCATTAACATTCCCACGGCCGGGACCCTAGCTACCTACCTAGGGTGCGGCAAGCGGGCGGGCTGAGGAAAAGCTCACGAAGAGCAGACGGGCTGCTGTGGGACTTCATTTCAATGCAGTCCCGTGCACCATATGGCCATTATATGACGCCAAAGTGTGTATCCAAGGTTAGTTAAGGTCCAAAGTCCCGAGTCGAAAGTCAGGACGCCTGCTGAACGGCTAGATGGGATGAAGACGGGATTTGAGGAGACGGGATAGGTAGTCACATATCGGCCATTGGGTTTTGACAAGCGAAGTTGCATTGGCACGATGGTTGTCTCAAGATCCATCGGGGTCGCGGACCAATCCAGCGGTGTGCGTAACAGAGTGCCACGAGGATAACACGATGAACGCGTGCCTCGTAGGAAAGAAGGGAAGAGATAGGTACATAGGTTGGATTGGCGGGTTGGCGGGTTGGTTAGTTGCTGATTAGGTGATTAGGTGATTAGGTGATTAGGTGATTAATTAGTTGCTGGACTAGGTTTAACTAATAAACAACGTGGGACTTTAGGTTTTGAAGGTTGGCAGTTTGATTAAGCTACTACGTATGTGGTAGGTAGTGTTACCTACATGTATATGAGGTAGGTACTACGTGAGGTACTATGTCATGTACTTCGCTATAGATCCGTAGAGGTTTCCCAGCATTGGGTACGTGAATTACATGAATTACATGAAGTTGCATTAGCAAGCGAGACGGGGAATTTCTGATTGGTCGGCAGTAAGCGAAAATGGCCGAAAGCAGTAAGGTTCCGAGCCTTAATTATGGGCCACCCTCCGTTCCGCCCTTGCACCTTAAGCCTCCTTTCTGATGGAGTCCGCGAATCCTGTGGGGCCATTCCCGACCCGATTCATATCTTTAGTACGGATTACGTAGGTACCTAGGTACCTACCTGTAAGATGTATATACCTACCTATGTATATGTAGTATAATACTACCTACCCATCCACTATTGCTGACATCTACCATTCCATTATCAAACGTGCCAATGTGTCAATATGCGTATGCTCATGTAAGAGAGACGATGCATGTTTGCTTGGCCTGGCCTATCACATCTCCAACGGCATTCGATATCTCTCGAACTTATCTGTCTGCAGTCTTCGGTCTTCTTACAGGTATGTATCTTACCGCCTCACGAGATATTTCGCCTCTAACTAACTACCTACTTACACGGAGTCCAGTCCAGTGCCGCAAAATATTATTACATACCAAGTCCCCGTCTTAGGTAAATAAACATGTCCGTTTTTAGATATACTCTTACACATAGAATCCCATCTCAATCCCATCTCAGTCCGGCCACTATGCTACTTCTTTCGGAAATGTGGTATATATGTACTGTCTCGGTTCCTTCGATGCAAGGTAATGTGCGGTGTTGACAGCATGGAACAGTCCAGATTTCCATCGTCCCCGCGTAATTCACACGTATGTATGTGCGTATATGCTCCTTCACGATCTTCAACGGCCTGCAACGAGCAAACCAGTGACAACTCAACCATGGCGATATTCGCAATGACCCGTACTTGTGTAGTTTGTCGTTAATTTTGCCGCAGTTAGGGCTTAGCGCAGCTGTGCCTCGGTCTGCTCGGTGAGGGATGAAAGCTTCGTATTAATAATGCAAGAAGGGTTTCGCAAACACGGCCTGTTCCTTTGTTCCTTGAGAATCCTTTACCTACGATCTGCACAGCCTTTTTTGAATAATCGAGTACGTGGTTATTCTTAACTCGGCGTGCCCGTGCCCTAATCTTATCGTTGTGAATTTTGTTTTTAATGAATAGACAGTAGTAAGGAGTAGCAGCTGATCCCAGTAATCACAACTCAGGCTCATTGGAACGTTACGAGAGTTCGAGGCATTGGATAATGCAAGCTACCTTGTAGACCAATCTTTTTAGTAAACTACATACCTACCTAAGTAGTAGTATAAACTTTTTTATAAACCTGTCTTATAAGTTAGCAAACTTGCAGCGTTCAAACAAGGGCAAGCCTCAACTTAGGTTACCAAGAAAAAAGCCTGATGGCCCCTTACGTACAGCTCTATCTAATTAATATATATTAGGCAGGTGATGCCTTCGGATTCTTCCGTAAAACTGCAACAAGTGACAGTCGGACCACCCCTTATAATTGATCTAGAACCCAGTTAAAGCTAGAGAGGAGATAAAACTTGACACGTAGATGCGGATATCCCGTGGCGTTGATCGTATTGTCGTGACGTGTTAGTCTCCTATTACTTAGATGTTCCAAGTAATTGTATGTGGCTTAAAGGCAACAGTCCTAGCTTCACGCAAAGGCAGGATATCATGATACTATACCATGTTATTTGCTCAGATCTACCTATTGGGTGAAAACTACTGAGAGTCTCCAACACCCACCCTAGAGTAAGACGGCAGGTCAAAAGGTTAAGCGAATCATATACCCCATCCCAAACAGACGAAAGCGAGCATGAGTAGCTGCACTTCTCTATATTTAAGATGCCATTGGCCTAGAGTATGCGCTACTTGAACCCCATATAAACAGCCGGGACGTTCTATCTCCGGGCTTCGATCATCGATGGAGTCAATGTGACCCTCCACGAATGGCATCTTTATCGGTCCCGTCAAGCTAAACGGTAATCTTAAGCGAAAAGCCCCTGTTTATAGCTAGGATAGCTTGCCTTCCCCACATCTAAAGGTGTCTTTGTAAGGTCTTAGCCTGGGACGTGTTGCCGTCGCCAAGTCGAGATAGGCCGAAGACTCGGTTCTCCAGCTTTTAATGTAACGCTTCATAGTTTGTACCTAGTAACGGACGAATTTAATCTATCGAGGGTTCACTTGCTAAAGAATCTCACCACTTCTAGATAGAAGAAGAAGAATGGTTACATCTCAAGTCTTAACTCTGGACCAGGATATTGACTAATATATCGGTACTCTCAGGCTCCTTTGAATAGGGACTCCGCCGGTGAAAGCTTTACCTCCTTTGTAATGGCATATAAGGCCCGCTTGAATCTTACAGGGCCTAGCATAAATCAAATATCAGCCTCAGGGTATCAATACTTGGCGATGCCGGTCCAGCTGACGCAGATCTATCGATGGAATATGTCTTCGAGTGCGAACTAGCTACAGTAGGTACATGATCCATTGAAACTCGATTGGTTGGCCTTTTATGCTATTCCTAAAGTGGCATGCTTTGAAGCTTTTCAAAGTCTTGATTTGTTAATATAACTGGGATGTGTGCTGTAGCTAGTTCGCACCTGAGGACATGCAGACATGTTACGCTCGGGCATCGTTCATAAGTAACTTATGGGTATGCCTGCATACATCCCCGTCTTGTCACTAGTAAAAGATGAGAGCTGAAATTTAGCTGTATGGTGTGGATACAGAAGTTAAAGCCGTTCGATATCACGTTGCATCTGAATAGTATTCTGACGGCGTGGGGCCATTAACTGATAGAATTTATTAGAAGAGACAATATTGCTATATATGGGTCTTTAAATGACTCAAAGAAGTATACCGAGTCAAAGTGCTAACCTTAGGTACATACCTATATGATGCTATTCTAACTTATAAGAGTCTTGGGTTTAACTGGATCCCACTAAAAACGCCGCAAAATATTAATCTAACGATGATGTCCGTCACCTCCCAAAGCTTCGATACCATGTAGAACACGTGCCAAACCAACAAACAACCCGCAATCAAGTGGATTCGGTCCCCATTCCAAGAGTCTAGAAACTAGGTACGGTCCGGGAGATTCACAAATCGATAAGATCTCTAAGCAACCAACCACTTGTGATATGCAGCTAAACTAGTAGAGCCACCAGTCCGGTTCCCTTCCAAGCTTTTTGAAATTTGAGGGGCTAAGGGGCTTTGGCGCCTCGGTATTCGGAATCTAGCCTCTAGGTTACGGGATTTGAATATTGAACCGTTAGAGTCGATCAGCAGCACTATTTATGTCACAATTGCTTGTGCGGGAGATCAGTGAAGCTGGAGATAGTAGGCTAATGAATAAAGTGGCTTTTAAAAACTGGGTTTTGACGCCCCTTGCGTTGAAGCTGATGTCGCCATCGTACAGACTTAACGTCGCCCACTTGTTTAACGTGATAATGCTCACACTAACAGATGTTGAGCTGGAGCGACGATCTCGAGGGACACTATAGCACTTCCTTCTCTCCGGATTGCAGACTAGAAGGCTCGCATATTTCCAGCTGTCAGACAGAAAGAACCCTTAGTTGATGTCATACATGGGGTGATTTTCAGGATAGTCGAATTGAACTACTACCGCCTGGACCTCTACCCTCTTTCGAGGGCGCTGCACGCCTCTTATATACCTAGTCCTAGTAGATATACCCCTGAATCTACCCCTAACCCACTTATTCCCTGACACCAACTACTTAGAGTCTTAGTCTGCATATGCTCTAATCAACATCTAAGTATGACAAGAACTGGTAAGACGATGATTCTATTCACACGTGTCAAGGCCCTAAAAGCAGATCGTAGATATTATGCACAAGTAATATATCAAACGAGAGCTTGTATATGTCCTTGTTATTAGAGCTAACCTGCCAGAACTATCAACCAGCCCTGCCAAACTAATGGTCTGGTTGTTATACCTACCACTTCTTTAGAACTAACAGTACCGCTTCCTTTCCAATGAATAACCATTACTATCACATATACTCTTATTTAAACACATCATTCAGCAGCACTGGTTACATTCCATATGCTAATGGCTCGTTGCCTTACGATCATCGGTTACTAGTGAGGCTTGCGTTAAGGTGAGGTATTCACCCAATGCATGACAGCACACACACACACACACACATATATATATATATATATCAACTTGAGGTCATCTTCAAGAATGTAAATCGTCGGCTAATGGGAGGATATTTGATGCATTCGGTGATACAAAGCTCAAGACACACTCGCTTTGTGCGACAGCATCGGTTGAAACGAACCACGTAGATCCTAGGTCGATAAACGCAATATTTGCAAGACTTGCAACTTATTTGTAGGTTTTTTGAGCTGTCTCTTTTCTCTAGCGGCATGTCTGGTGAATAAAATAAATAAATAAATGAATAGCTGTTGAGGTAGACCAAGTAAGATACCGTTCGTTCCCAGAAAAGGGGCTAGTTGCTGTTCCTGCAAGGCTGACATCCCAACTACATTGAATACTACAATTAGCTATAACTTATTTTAATACGAATTATCAATATTCTCCATAAAGCTATTTCGGTACCTCTCTTGAAAACTGCTAGCTCCTGCGCATGACTAGGCGGTATACCTATCATTAGGCCGACCATCGTGGCGGGCATGTCTCATACAGCCAGCCCACCAAGAATTACTCCGTGAACTATAATAATAGCCATATAGAACAAAGGATGCTTTCAGTGTGTATAGCCATAGGCTCCTATAGTTAACGTAGAGTTCCTCGTGGAACAACAAAGCTGTTTCCTCGCCTCTCGCTCTACCTCATGATAGGCACATTTAACTCAACTTGCGATTTATATATAGAATATATTTCAGTATCAGAAACAAATAAAATAGAAATAAATATATCCAAACATTATAGATTTATGATGAATTCGTCATCGTGCTGTTTGGTTTTTTTTTTTAAAAAAAAAAAAAAGCCAAATCGCCCCCCTTTTTTACACCAAGGAAACAGCGGTATATAAATCACAGTTAATTCTCAAAAGTTATATTCATAGCTTTATCTTTTTTCTTCAATTCAACCAAAAGCCTCCTTACTAAAGACGATGGAAAGGGGTATATACTATGCCGCAGAAAGACTATTAACTCGGACCTTCGTAAACCCCTCTTCATGCAACCGATCCTGAAAATTCCGCCCGAGCTCCTCGTCTCGAATGAGAACCGTGAAATCCACCCGATCCGACAGCAGCCCAAGCGGCGCTACTATCTTGTTTATCATGCAATACCACTCGTCCTGCAGCAGGGGATGTTCAAACGCCAGCACGCGGATCGTCAGGCGTCTCAGGCCCGTCATAGCTACGACGGCGTCGCAGATCTCCCCCCAGCTCTCGTTGTGGTTCAGAGACGACCCTAGAGTCTTACTTTCTTCGAACCGCGCCCAGTAGTAGAAGCCGGACCAGTCGAGCTCAATCGACCGCACGGCTTCGAGGCCTACCGTTGGCGAAAGCACGAGAAAGCGGTAAAACGCCTCCATCCTTTCGAACTTGAAGTGTCGTTTGTATAATAGACTTAATGTCTCACAGTACCTAATTTATATATGTTAACATCGGTAACAGTCCTGTTTCTCTTCGAAATGGGTTGGTCAACTTACATCCATTTGCAGCTCTGGAGGGGCGTCAACATGTTAAACTCGGCCGTTACATCGTCTGCCAGGAACCGTCTCTCAGCCCCAATATCCCTCCAGAGCGGTCGGTAAGCACGTCTCCTATTATGGTTCAACTCATCGAGCCTCCCCTGGTCACGCGGAAGCACGACGTGCGCGAGCTTATTTACTTTCCTCAGTATGCAAGCGTCGTCGTCTCCAAGCGCGTACTCCCATATAGCAAGCCTGATCTCAGGCGGCATCCGTAAGAGTAGACACTGACTTTGATCTGAATAGGATACGGTATTTGTCAGCCCAAGACAGCCAGCTACTCGTGAAGGCGCCCATCTGAATCTCTGCCAAGCCTCGGATGTCGAATTTGGAACCCATCCGCCTCCGTCCGGGGATTTCTGCTCGGCTATTGTTCCTCTGCGCCTCTGACAACGGATATCCCTCCACTCATAATGGTATTTAGCACTTGGGTGGAGACGACCCATGGTTTCGTGTTCTGTAGCCTTATCTTACGCCGCAATGCGACAGTGTAACATACATCAACGTCTGCGAGGGAAAAAAGAAGAGATAAATTAGAGCCTTGCTTTTTCTTCAATCAAGTATAAACGTATAAAGCTTAAGTACCTAAGGTAAATAGGTAAGCACTAAAGTTCCATTAGTTCCATTAGTTCCATTAGTTCTTATATTGTAACAATTCCTGTTACCTGCTTGTTTCAGCAGGCGGTAATACGGCGGTATCGGTAGCGGTAGCGGTATCGGTATCGGTCTGTTCTGATTAATAATGATAGTGTAAAAGTGAAAAATCTAAGGGTTGTTGGTGGAGGGATGAGGGAATAATTACTCCCCGCACGTTATTGGTTGGTCAATCTACGTCACATTCAATATAAAACGTACTTAACAACTTTAGGTACATATAGGTATCCCGTCTGCCCGTACAGCTGCTGCCACGCCACGTAGTAGCATTGACATCGCATTCTAATGCCGCCTTCAACATTAGTTATACGATATATACCTTAGGTACTTACGACGCATATATATTTCTTCCCCTGACGATACGCGTTGCGCGCCCAAGTCCGTAACTCGTGAATAAAAGAGAAGACCAAAAATTAGATCTCATCGCATCTCGGAGAGAATACCGGCTAACAGGTAATCATATCAATGCTCATATCTTATTATAAAATACATAGAAAGGCACAAGTCTAACCGCCGGTAGTGACTCAAACCGCTTCAACGGGCCGTCGGGCACTGTGTATTCGTGGGGAAACCAGAACTTAGGATTTAAGCACAATCTCCGACCCAATATTTGTGCGATACAGGTTCAAATTCGATAAAAGGCAACTCTCTAATTTTTCGATGCTGAGTGATATTGGTTGCTTCAACAGGGAATGCGCGTGTCGTTAGGCGTGTTTCGTACCATGGGACTTCTGATAATACACGACGACTCCTTTCTAAATATCCCCGCAGCCTTGGGATCCTTAGGATGAGCCTTGTAGGTAGTCTCAAGAGGCTATAGCATTAGCTCAGCAAATCGACCTGGAATCCGGGGTAGGACTAACGCGTGCAGCTAATCAAATACTGGTGCATCATCTACGTTACATCCTACGAGTATTAGCGCTGTTTCTCTAATGTAGCATCGCACTATATGGAAGACCATCATCTTCTGTAATTTTCCAGCTTTTTGCCGGTTTTATGTGAGGCTGGTCTTGATGTTTGCGAGTTATAACAGTGTGCGAAGGGGGCATCTTAGGTATATCCATAGACCAGGGAACTATCAGGTAGTACACGGATGATGGCATACGCATAGAACTAGAACTTGGACTTGTTATCTTCCTCGATGTTAATCCTCCAACTCTTCCGTCTGCGTAATCTTCTCTCGCTTCTTCTTCTCGTCGGTCCCCAGCGCCGACAGGTATATCTCGTGGAGATTATACCGCTTCAGAGACTCCCAGTCTCCGTCGACGACGCTCATGCCGCAGAATGTCTGTGATGATTAACTCGGGCTTTTTGGAGACAGGGGGGGTGGTAAATTTGGGGACAAAGATGTACCTGGTAGATGTCGATGAGAATGACCTTGTCCGGGGATGAGAGGTTGACCTTGTGGCGCGGTGCGATGAGCAATGCGACTTTCTTGATCACGTCGTCGCGCTTGAGGGTATTGTGGGCGCGGAAGCTAGGCCGAATGGCGTACTAACTCAAGCTGTTAGTAATCTCCCCTTTGGAGGCGAATTGGGGAGTGAGCGCACCGAATAAGCATCCCCCTTAGGAACCTCTATCTGCTCGTCCTCGCCTGCAAGCTGGAAGTGCTTAGCTAGGACACTCTTGGCAACCTCCTCGACGCCAGCCTCGGTAGCTTTCGCAGTCAGCGTGACGGGCGTAAACCGGTTGATGAATCTCGTTCGCCGCTGCGATTTTTCGGTGATTCCCTTTGCGTCCTTGCAGATCCGCTGAACGAGCGCGACGGGATCGATGGGCGGCTTCGTCCGTATGAAAAGCAAGCAATCGAGATTCATGCGCATGGGCTCGAATATCAAGTCCTTCGATTTGCTTGCAGGTTTCATATCTTGGACTTCCTTCTTGATAGATGATTCGATATCATCTCCACCATCCTCGTCATCCTTAGCTTCGGCGGGGTCTTGGCGTTTGATGTCGTAAAGCTTCTCTCCGTACTAGATATGCCGTGAGCATCGTAGGACAAATCAGTGCAATTGAGAGGCGAGAATACCTCTTCGCAAAGATCCACCATTTCCGCCAAAGCCTGTCGCTCCTTGCCTTTAACACACGTAGTCCAGATGCCCATGTCACCCACTTCTAGACTTCTGCCTTTTATGGCCTCGAGTTTAGCCTTCTGATGAGGTGTCTGCCATCTACCATTGCTACCGCCCTGCAAAATGGTAAGACATTGAACATAACATATAGGCTAGAGACGGTTATATAATTTCACTTTGCTTTTTTTAACGGGACGACCGTCAGGCCCATTAGAGGGAGGCTGTTTTCGTTTCTCAGAAGAATCCATGGCTCGGATGAGGGTATTGAATTAGGATTGCAATTTAATTGTAGAGGCAAGAGGTACATGCAATACATATCGCATTTGAAGTTTATGATTATGGTGGTCACGTGGACCTCACGTGGGTCTCACGTGCAGTGCACATACCACAAGATATAGGTTCTTAATGTGGATACTTCGAAGCTTATTTGAATCCTAGGGATTCCCCCTACATTTAGATTTGCCTCATCCTCCCCCCTATCCTAATTACTAACAAGGTCTTATTATAAATAAAGTCTTACTATACAAACAAAAGCTATTGGTATAGGCATCAGTAGTGCTTTACCCTTAATAGCTTCTGCTAAACATAATTAACAGGCTTATCAACTGGCCCTGCAACGTTGATAAACAGGACTCAACAACCCCTTGACCTTGACAGTATCATCTCGTCGACAGAGAGGTTTTAGTTTCATGTAGCTCAACCCATCTTTATATATGGTTATATACCTTATGTAGGTAGGTATACATGTGCCCAGAGGTAAGTTACTGTAATAGTAACATTTATGAAAAGCGAGATACCAACAACTCAAGTGTCAACCTAGGTCCAAAGAACATATAACATCTAATCTTTACACTGTTTTTAAATGTTTCTCGGAATCGCAAGAAATCACCCTATAATTCAAACTCCTCAATTAACGATCAGACATGAAAAGAAGCAACACAAGTCTCATAATCCACCTCGTCCAGTTCTAACCCAAGTCCACGGCCCCATAGAAACCAACTCTTACCATACCCATCTATTCACTTATACTTCTTATTATCATTCATAGCATTCCGTCTGCAGCTAAGATCTATTCCAACCGCCTCCCGTCCCAGTAAAATACAATACACCGACTGCCCTACAAATATACATGTCATCTCCGTCCCTTCATTAATATTTATTTATGACAGTCATCTTTCGTTCATAGTTCCAGTTCTAATCGAATTCGTCATCCTACGTTAGACTTTAACCCTCCTCTTCGTAAATCTTAACATTATCAGCATACTCGCGAATATTACTAACGATATAGTCGTCAATCGTGGAGCCCTTTCCAGCCACTACGCGTATGATTAATTCGTTAAGCTTCTGTCGCCCCAGGATATCCACGTGGTCTGCTGTATTGGGCCCTCCGCGAGGATTGAACCTTTCAGGTTCGTGAGGCATTTCCACGACGGTGACCTTGGCACCAGCCGGGTTATATCGCTTCATACGCCAGCCCTTAGAACACATGTAACCGCTACTTAGAATGTTAACTGTGCCATCGCCTTCTCCCATGACAACACCGTGATCAATTTCATCAACGGTCAGGCCTGTATCGATGGTGACATTTAAGTTTGTGAGAGCCGGGTATTCCGGGCTGCGGTAGTAGTATGCTCGTTCTGTTGGTTTTCCCACGCCGTAAAAACAATAGATCTTCAAGTTCGGAGCTAGGGGCAACCGCGTCTCCAGGGGGTTGACCCATTTGCGATTGTCGAGCTCATTGGCTTCAACCTCGGCAGCGGTATGAGCCACTCCATGAGAGAAGCTCTTCTTGACCTGATCTTGGTACCAATCATCAGTCGTGTCCATGAGATATTTCATCGAGTCGCCAACGGTGAAGTTTTGATTCGGCGTAGTCCAGTTAACACCACGACGGAAGTTTAAAAATGAGCCAAACGAGTTCTTCTGCCCGGGTTGGTCATCCGGTGCCCAGGTTAGATTCCCCCAGACCGCGTCTCCGCCAAGCGGTAGCATAGCCGACATTCCTGGCATCGCTCGAAATATTTCAGCTCGTTCATCTTTGCTGAGGAACTTCTCGAGCCCGTATACTGCAAAGGAATTAAGCTGCGCCGTATCGCGCATCTCGCCGGAGAGAATGGCTGTCACATCCTTAACTGCCCCTAGCATACATCCACTAATATTGATCCAGGCTTCGACATGACGCTCGACCCAATCGTCACCGCCTTTGCCACCCTGTGCAGATGCTACCCAATGGAAGAAATAGAATAAAACTTGGCTGCCCATACTGTGGGATGCAAGAACCACCTTTTGACCAGAGAATTCGTGTGCCAGCTCCACATAGCTTTTTAGCCTCGTAAAGTATTGGTCCCGAACCTCGAGGTTTTGATACGTCAAACGCCAATCGTAAGCAGCCGTGAACGAGTTGGTTGGGTCGTAGCCTAACGATGCCAGATTCTCCACGATTTTACTCCAGATCCAGTACCCCGTAATGAAGAAGTCGGTCGCATCAAAGCCCTGCGCAGCCCTCAATTTGATATTCGGCGGATCTAACCCGGTTTTCTTATCCAACATGATGTGCTTCTTCCATATGTCCTTGTCCAGAACCAGCGCTCTCATCATAGTCCAGCTACCCCAGAGACGCTTTCTAAAGTACGGACGGGAGATATTGGCAGTGCCCCAAGATTCGAGGCCTGTTGAGATGACACCGGGAACCAGAATGACGGGATGGTGAACGCTAAGCCCATCGGTCCGGGCTTTCAGCCCTACAGAAAAGGAATCGTAGCTATCGACAAAATCCTTCTCACCTTTCTACAAATCACAGAGCTTATTAGCTTAGTCGGACTTTGTTTGAAGGTAGAGACGTACAACAAGATCCCTCATATCCTTAACTAGACCTGCTGGTAACACATCAAGAAAACTGTCCATACTAAGTTCACCAATCTCCGGGAGTTCAAGTAAATCATTATTCTTAGCCAGGAGGCCGGCAGCTATAAGACCGAACAAGCTACCCATTAAGAAGATAAATGTATTGCGCCTCTTGCCCGTCTTCGCCTTATGTTCATGATGTATGATCTGGACCTTGTCGCCCGGCTTGGCCGGACTTTCGTCTCTCGGTGTAGGCGCAAGCGACAACGAGGATTCGGATGAGTTATCGGGGGCAAGCGCCCTGCGTCGGAGAGTTGATGCCATCGTCGGGCAGGCCTACATGACCAGGTAGAAAAGCTCGGTGTGCAAAAGTGGACGGTGGAGAGAAGGGGAAGGTGGGAAGAAGCAAATCGGACACGGAACCGCAGCGGCACTGTCGGAATGGGGCTCGATCGTCGATAAATGGGACCAAGCAAGCAACGTCAGCTACCGGATTGTTGAGCGGTACGGAACTTGGGGAAGGGAGGTGGGAATAATGTTTTGCTTTGCTAAGCTCGCGGGTTATTCATGGCTGAAAGTTAAAAGGCTGTACCTGATCAACGGTATTAATTTGCAGCAGGTGCTGCACGCTTTGAAGTCTAGACAGAAACATTAGCATTGAAATTGGTATCATTTTTGACGTCAGTACATTAGATAGTGGGTCCACGCTACCATGTGGTGCCTTCTTTCTTCAAACATCGACCAATCAGCAGTCTAGAATGGCAAGAGGGTTCAGAACGTTGGCCAATAGCGTTTTTGGGGGTTTGGTCTTCTGGTACCACAGCATGACAAGCATGGATTCCCATTTAAACTCCATCTAAACTCAAACCGGGCGGCCCCGCGGAACTATTCCCATCTTAGAGAGGTCGGCTTGCTCGAAGGACCCCGTTGTAACCCAGTACACTACATAGGTACATACAAACAATTCTTTTTTGGCTTGCATGTGAAAGCGGGCCGTCTTGTCTTGTCGTCTTTCGTCTCAATCTAACTACCTACATATTATTACTGTAACGGGCCATCTGTCCGTCTTAGTCAACTGGTGTTTCTGGTATGTATATCCACCATCATAATGTCCCTCCCGGTTTCTCAACGGCGCGCCTCTTAGAACTTACCTTTGACTTTATTCCGCTATTGACCGTGTGCATACTAAGTTTGCAAGCCCGACGGACGATAGCGATAACGGCGCTTAACTTCTTGGATCTCTTGGTACCGACAGACCTTCGTACCCAGCCCGTAGAAAAGCCATGGAAATAGCTCGCGCAAAAGAGCTTCCGGGGGAACTCTTATATATACAATACGAACATGCACTAGAAGAAAAGTACCTACCCGCTATCCGGGCATTGATTTCGAAAGATCTCAGCGAGCCCTACAGCATATATGTTTACCGGTATTTCTTGTACCAATGGGCTCACTTGTGCTATATGGTAAGCTTATGCACGTGTATTCGTCCTACCATTAGGCGATTATTAGGCGATTTACTAATATTTCGACTCCCTGATACTAGGCACTCAATCCCGTCGATAAATCTCTTATGGGCGTCATCATCTGCAAACTCGAACATCATGCCTCGCACTCACCCCCGACCCATCGAGGTTATATAGCTATGCTTGCGGTATCGTCTGCCTTTAGGGGCCACGGAATAGCCACCGCGCTAGTAAGAATGGCCATCGATGCAATGGCTGAGCGCCACGCCGATGAGGTTGTCTTAGAGACTGAAGAAACGAACATACCGGCTATGAGACTATACGAGCGGTTGGGATTCTTGCGATCGAAGAAGCTTCATCGATATTATCTAAATGGTAACAGCGCTTATAGGCTTGTACTACTATTAAAGTCGGCAGACCTCGAACCTGGCCAGCAACCTGACTAGAGGCAGGTTGGGTTACTTGAACATCGTCGGCGCGTGAGCCGTGGATGTGCTATGCTTATAGCCAGCAAGCAGAACGTATACAGTCTCAACAGCGTTTCAGAACGACTATGGAGGGAAGGTGGGTGGTACGACTAGGGCGCCGCGAGACCGGGCTGTAGAATTTGGATGATATCAGCATGGAAGGTCAATGCATTGGTGGCGTTAAAAGGGTAGTAAGTAAGCATTGAAATCCTATTTGGGTCACATTCAGATTAGTACTTGTACTTCTCAAAGTCTCTGATTACCTATGCATGAAGCAAGCTTTCGGTGGCAAAGGGTATCTCGACAAATTCAACTATTTTCCATGAGAACTCATATTTCTCCATTTTCTTCGATTCTGAATCTCTTTCTCCTATCCTACCCTTTCTTAAGCATAGAGGCACTATCGTATATAGAGGCCCTTATCTCCCAAGGATTGCCACGTGCTATGCCTAGGTAAGTGTACACGTCTAATCTGGTAAGCGTCGTCCCGAGAGAAGCTGTTCAGATACCTGACAAACTTACCAGGTTTGTAGTAAATTGGTCGATCCCTAGCCTGGATGAGTCCGAGCTGCTTCAGCTTCTCGGCGACCCTCCTAACGTCCTTCGTATCTGAGAAATCAGCGGTGTAGACACAGATGAGCCGGTCCGTCCTCTTATCAGTAGTTGATCGTGGCGCAACCCTAGCGCCAATCCCAAGCTCATTATTTGCCGTAGCTTTGGCGACAGTCTCCCAAATCTCGTTAACCTGGAAGACAGAACAGAAGAGCATCCACTAGCACATGTCAGGAATGATGGTTCAAGCATATACTCATGTTTGGTGATATACTGACCTTGCCACATCTCACACGTAGCATCCTTGCGAGGTTGAGAATATCTTTGGCCGCGTCCAACCCGGCTTTTCGACATTCTCGAGTGATAGTACCTGGCTGATTTCCTGACTTCTTGCATGCGTCGATGAATTCTGAGGCAAGATGTAGTCTTGCCATCCCACCCTCAACTACACTGGGCAGGTCTGCGCCAACCTCTTCGGGTGCTTCGTCTTCGCCGCCGGGGATCATTTGATTACTTGCTTCATGTTTCTTTTTGCGATTGATGTATGGATTACAGACCCAAATCCAGGGGTCTTCTGGAGTTTCGTCTGTCGTTGCAGGCGGCACGCGTTGCACGAACTCTTCAATGGTCTCGGTGAGTTGCCAGGCGTTCTTAAGGCCGGCATAGGGGTTATGGAGATGAGAGATATCTACGGCTTCCTTCTTTTGCGCCTGCATCTTGAGCGGTGTATCAAGAGTTCGGTATTGTTCCCACCAAGCTTCAACGTCGAATAAATTTACTTTAGCTTTAAGATCAGCCAGAACTTCGTCGTCGCCTAAAGCCGTGAATTAGTAATCGAGCGTTATTTAAATAGACTGAATATCTCCACCATAGAAATCAGAGTCCTCAGAACTCATGGTCGCAAGTCAAAATAGATGAGTAGGTATATACCTAGGTACGCTAAATTGATAAACAGTAGTTCCTACGATGAAAATAGGAACAGGGAAGAAATGAAACAATTATAACAAATATTGTATAGTTAGTTAACTTAGGTAGTCGAAGTCAATTGTCGATGATACGAGTCAGGCTTAGAAAATTGGAAACATGAGGTGCATCTATCTGAGTACCTAAGGTTGGAAAGCTACCTACATAAGTAGTTGAAGAAGACTTAAAAAGTCCTTGCTCCATGAGACCGGGGGTTGTTGAAGAATTGACGTGCTCTTGCCAACCCAAATGTCCGACTCCCCTTGTTCTTGCAGCTTCGATTGTTACCACGGTATTTCCATAAGAGGAACATTGAACTGGCTGCAGTCTGCAGGTGCAAGAACCAGGCGCTCGGGCACTAATTGGACCAGGTCCAATGACAAGGCTACCTAGGTACCTAGGTATGCTCCAGGGTTTATACAGCGGGTATGATTCCGAGCCGCTCTTTAGAACGACATGCATTCTATGTGGCCCACTTTTAGTATAAGTCTCCACCATCTTTAAAAAAGCAACTTCAAAAAACTGAGGGGAATATTTTCTCTTAACATCTACATGTGCGGGGCTTAATATCTATATTGCAGCATGTCTTACGTCTCCATGAACACTAATTGCTGGCATATTCTCCGTTGGCGAATATAAACGTGGTAGAAACGCCCCTTAAAAGTGCAACGTCATGGGTACGCACGGACGCCGCATCACGTCGCTGAAATCATTAACCCTAGACCTCCCCCCAAGCTGTATCGAATTCTGTCCAGGCCATCCGGATTATTTTGTCGTTGGCACATATAACTTACAGAAAGAGGACAAATTAGATACAGATCTTGTTGCTAGAGATGACGAAGAAGAACAGCAAGTAAAGAAGACCCAGACTCGGGATGGCAGTCTTGTCCTCTTTAAGTTATTAGAGACTACAGATATGTAAGCTACCTTACCTTATATACCCGTTTATTTTTATGTTTCATTTTTAATATCAAATTCACCATCGAATAGAAAACACGTACAAACTGTTCTCTACCCTTCCGCTCTCCTTGACCTTCACTTTCATCCCAGTCAAGAAAGGTCTACCGTGTTAGCTGTCGTTTCCAGTACCGGAAGTCTTTCATTCTTCAAACTTTCCGCTTCAGAAGAACCCTCAGCTTCCCTAAAGGAAATTATTACCCATAAGCCGCTTGGTGATGATGATGGAGTTCTACTCCTATCATGCTCGTGGCATCCACATATTCCTGAGCTCCTAGCAATTACGACCTCCGACTACGATGTCCATATCCTGCGTGTTACTGACTCATGGAATGTCTCTAAAACGAGTGATGGGCCTGTGATAACTCACACCCTTGAAGCTTGGACAGTGGCATTTTCATCGTTGACACCAAGCAAGCCTAGCTTGGATGCGGCAGATTCTCCAGAGGAAAGCTCTGGGCAGTTTGCAGTATTCTCAGGGGGTGACGATTCTAAACTCCTTACTACGAATTGTGTATATTGTTCAGCTCGCATTGATACTGAAGAGAGCTTGATCGAGATATCATACCCGCCAGTTGCGTTCAAGGGGCACGAAGCAGGCGTAACTGCTATTCTCCCCCTGAATCTGCAAGTTTCATCGCACGATTCCGTGATTGTTACTGGAAGCTACGACGACCATGTTCGAGTATACGCGTTCGATGAGCAGAGAAAGGGGATGCCACCTTACAGGCCTAGATTATTAGCAGAGCAGAACTTGCAAGGAGGTGTATGGAGACTTAAACTGATAAGATTAGAAAAAGCTATGGAGAACACCAAGGGAGACAACCAGTATTGGAAAGTCTTTATTCTTGCCTCATGCATGCATGCGGGATCACGGGTACTTGAGATCTCGGGTGATACGGAGACTGGACTTTGTGAGATCAAGATACTCGGACGGTTTGAAGAGCACAAGAGCATGAACTACGGGAGCGATTTTCAACCGGGTTCCGAAACACAAGGTAGAAATCTCCGGTGTGTATCAACGAGTTTTTATGATAAGTTATTGTGTTTATGGGAATATTAATATTTATTCTGGATGTCTAAATCCTTTGGTCCGACCTTATTTATGTTACAAGCTTTATAATAGTGATATACTCAGTTAATCTCAGTGAATGCCTAACTCCTGCCCCTTAAGGTACATATAGGAACTAACGCAAGCTCGGTGATGTAATACAAATAGTCTCAACACCACTTTGGAATGTGACGGATGCGGTTTTTCACATTTCGCTTAGTTATTCTTTAACAACGTATTGTAGAGAATTATGATTTCCCAAGCTCTATCATTGCATACTTACCTATATAATAACTAGTTAGTTGTATAATCTCGCCCATCTTCAAATGATTCGGTATAATTTAGTTTGCTGTTGAAATAAAAGGGGAGCTATGCTTGGCAGAATGAAATAGACAAAGGAATGTTGTAGACTGTGGAGTACAGCAGCGCCATGGGGCGTTGTATGTACATAGGAGCAATTTTGGAATTGTTCTAATGCTTCCAGAACAGCGGCTTCGCTGCTGAACCAAACAGCTAATTGGTCCATGCGGATAAGTACATAATAGTACATGACAGGTAACAAGCCTATGAAGGTGGGGTTGTTATATGGCAGGGCAAGGCAGGTACACCCTGATAACAATGCCTTAGTATGTATATGCATTGTACATGCTGACATGGCAGCATGATTTATACTGCGCGGAGAAGTGAAAATGTACCTACCTGAGCTTACCTAAGACTACCTAAGAACCCAAAACTTAAGGTGAACCCACCAATCATCGCGTGCAAAAGGCACGGTCTATATGTACAATACGTACTGCTGCTGAGCTGAAGCAACATTACCACATCACCTGTAAATTTCCGCCAGAAACACGAACCTCAATCACGGTACCTTAGTTTAGCGCATAATTTATAGTCGTCGTTCCACTTCCAACCCTGTCTCAAGCAAGAACATATCGAGAATCTGAAAATTTAGCATCCTATCAACAAAGGTGCTTGTTGCTGAATTACCATTACCAATTCAGTATACCCTCACTGCCTCTCCATCTTTCATTCTAACTACCTCGTAACCAATCTTATCTAGACTTTGCCTGATGATTCACACCTGAAGCAAGGTTGACCTATAGCTCTCGACAGCTCCCGACAGCTCCCGCCCACCCCTCCAAGATCGTCGCCGACCGCGCATCTCCTAGCTCCCCCAACACGATGGCCACACATACTGCGATCAATGGTAATATGGGATCGGGCGGCGTAGGTTTTGGCGCCGACAATATGGAGGTCCTGCCCAAGATCCACAAGGCACTAGAGGTCATTCATAATCCTCACTCTCCCAACGATGCACGGCAAGATGCCCAGATGTTCCTCGAAGACGTAAAGAATAATGGAAATGCCTCTTTTTACGGCTTTCATCTCTCCGTCGACAAGGCTCAGTCTCCCGTGGTGCGACATTATGCTCTATCGCTCCTGGAGTATGTAATCAAACACAAATGGGCTGATTACACCGAAGATCAGGCTACCGATCTGCGTAACGGCGTCCTAGAGCTCTCCCGAGGTATAACGAGAGATGACCCGGCTTACTTGAGAAACAAGATTGCCCTGTTGTGGGTTGAGGTCGCAAAGAGGACCTGGGCTGGAGAGTGGATGGATATGGACGCACTGCTTTGCCAACTGTGGTCAGGCCCTGCAGTACATAAGGAGCTTGTCCTGTGCATCTTAGAGATGCTATCCGATGATATTTTTAGTGGCGATGACACAGTAGTAGCAGTTCGCGAGGGTGTCCTTAGCAAGGCATCTGTTGAGATCTTCACACCTGCCGCTGTCCTAGTAGAGACATTCCCTAACCGGCAGGCAGGGCCGGATGTGAGATGTGGCAGTGAAGGCTGGCTTGCAAGAATCACCGACCTATTAAATCGTTGCTTAACAGAAGATATACAGAACGACTCGGAAATACGAAGCTGCGCAATTCGTGCTCTCGGCGTACTCTACTCTCTGTTACCCTGGGTCGTCCCCAATGCCGTCACTGCTACCCGGTGTGTACCAGTAATGTGCGAGGGACTTCGTGCAAACCACATTGAAGTCCAGAAGGTAAGCCGTGCCCCTACTAATATTATGTGTATCCGTGGCTAATCGTCAAAGGCATCCCTGGAAGCTCTGCATTCCCTCTATTCAAGAACAAGCTTTGTCGACCAGGAGTTTATAGACCTCGTTGTCCCGCTATACAGCAGCAAATATGTCGATCTATTCAGACAGCTTTTCCAGTGGTCGGTTGTTGACCCAGAGGATATTGATGATGATAAATATCAATTCTCTAAGAAACTATCTGAGGTAAGTTTGACTGTGAAGGTCTACTTGTTATTCTCGCTAATAACATAAAGGTGATTTCGTTCCTAGGTACTTATATGGACCGACGTTTTAATGTTCTACCAAACGACCCAACCCGCATCGATTTCCAAGGATTCTTGCAACTTCTTCTGCTTGTTGCCCAGAGTCAGAGTCTAGTAGTCTCAATTCCTGTCCTTGTAACATGGACTCGACTCCTAAATAACGAATCTCTCGGACGAAACATTGCAAGTCTTCCTTCCCTCATTGGTCCTCTTCTAGAATGTTGTAGTTCGAGGCTTGTTCGATACGAAAGCTTGCCCGAAAATACCCAGGACCCTACGTTTCTATTCCTATTAGAAGATACAGACACAATCCCTGAGCGCCATGCTTTCCTGGGAAACTATAGACGCTATAGCTCAACAGTAATCGAGCTCATCGTTGAATTGCAGACGACTGATGCAATGCAACACATCTTAGGCCAAACGGATAATATCTTAGAACATCTTTATGACGAGGGACCAGCCTTTAATAGTATGTCTTGCTCGAGTTTGTGAAGATATCGGTCTGACTCTTAGCAGTGGCAAATTATACCAAGACATCTCCACAGGTACTCCGGGTTGATGCCCAAGCAACAGTAATTGAAGCAGCTTTAAAGGGGTACGGAAGGTGGAGAGAATTTGTTGTTGCAGACGAGGTTAGTATGAGCAGATAATAATTCCCATCTGACACCGAAATCTCTACTAATGTCTCGTAGCAGCAAAATGCGGTAGAAGCAAGTTTAGAGTCCTGGTGTAATCGTCTGCTGGCGATGAACTTTGAGGTACGTACTCCTATTTTGGCATTCTGCAGATGTATACTTATTGATGTAGGACCCTCTTATCCGAAAACGAATTCTGGAGCTTCTCGTTGCTTTCTCTGTTAACGCACTTCATCGGAATGCGGGTTTCATGCTGAAAGTCCTAGAACACATTCTTGTAACTTGGCCAGCTACGCATCCTGATTACAGAGTATATACGGATGCAATCAAGGAGTTACAGACGGAGAGCATGGTTGAGCTTCAAAGACTTGCAGCCAAGATGCCCAACCATTTGCTGGTGAGAATACAATGCTATTTATTTAATACACCTAACTACCGGATATATATTAATGAGGGTTCTAGGACGTCTATGACCAGATAGAAGCAAAGGTTAACGAGATGATTGCTTCGGGGACATTAGACGAGAAACGTCAGATTACGTATCAGACTTTTCTGTTTACTATTGTGTAAGCTCCTAATTCGGTGCCAACTTGAAGTCGTACTAACTAGCCTAGCCACCGCTCTACTCGGCTCGACCAGGCTACGAAAGCCCAGAAGTTACGAGGATTCATCGACCCCGTCGTGGCCCAATGGCAAAATGACCGTCTCAAACAGGCGTTGTCATCATACGCGGGCTTTTGCGAGCTCATGGCTCTTGACAAAGCACAGAACTATCTTGCACGGATGCAGATGCAAAATATCTCGGATTGGGGTTCAGTTGAACTCGATGCCGAGGGACAAGCACTACAAGCCGAGCTCGAAGAGCGACAAGCTGTTAGGATATCTCGTATCTCACGTTGGAAGTTATTTGCTAACGCAGCGTGCAGGTTCTCCCGCTGCGACCTACAAAGTCATTCCTAACTTGTTCCGCTGATAAGGTAGAGAAGGATAGCGACCCGTACCAAGTCTCGTGCGCCTTGTGGCAGGATGGGTTCCCGATTATCCTTCCCCAATTGCTTAATTTCTTGAAGTAAGAACCCCACGGCTTTCACATGATGTCAAATAGACTAACATTCATATCTAGCCATGCGCACGCTTCGCATACCCCTCAAAATTGGACAGGATTACCACCCGAGATGAGATCAATCGTTGGCCGCGTCCTTACGGATAGATTCTGGCAAGCCGGTATTTCAGAAGGCAGTAAAGATGAGTTTTATGCTCGCGTGCTTGAGAAGAAGCTCACACTGGAGGGGCTTGCCTCGACGATTCGAGGTTCTATACGCTTTGTGCGCGAATCGTGCTACGCAATAATATATTGCATGACACGCTTAGACGTGCAGTTCTATGGCTTTAACGAGCTCCCAGGACCCTTGGCTCATGCTCTCCTTGCCGATTCCTTCGGTCTTTCAGCCCATCAGTTAATCAATGTCCTTAATCTGGTTAGATATCTGGTGGACAATTGTCCAGTTCCTCTGCGAGAGCATTTCCTCCCTCCAATTCTAGCTGCGTGCTGTCAGCAGATGGATACCAGGATAAACTCCGAATGGATGAAGCTTGAGCATCAGCAGGCAGTAAAAACGGGAGGTGATGCTCTGACCGAAGAGATGAAGGCGGAAAGCATCCTAAGACAATTGACGAACGCAGCTGTAATGATGGTTGCGGACTTCTTGGACCCAGCCCGGACCAGTAAGTTAAACTCATCGGCGACCTATTTACACGAAACATAAATTCTAACTTTGCGCCTAGACAGCAATGATGCAGGAAATCATCTTACGCTTCGAGAATTTTGCTTGGAGCATTCCTCCGTCGTAGAGCCGCTCCTGATGTTCTGCACCCATGCGATAAGGTGGCATGATTCCCGGTGCTGCGGCATCATGCTGAGGGTTTTCCGTTCCATCATTCCGGACTTCACAACAGGCCTCCCACCCGCAAGCACAGCTGCCGCCATCCGCGAATACATATCGTCGGATGTTGTAAAAGCATGCATCACGTCTATTCACGAACCGTATTTTGTTGACCTACAAAAGGAATTTGCTTCTCTGATCGCCACGGTCCTAGTAACATATAACGACTTCACGAAGACAGCTAGGGATGTACTACTCTCGCTTCCCAACGTGAAGCAGGCCGACGTCGACAGTGGGATAGAATACATGATGAGGAAGGAAACAAGCTCTCGTGGCCAACGAGCAGTCGTCCTTCAGTTGCTAGGTGATATAAAGGGTGTGAGCGTGTCAGAGATGGGCAAGTTAAGCAAGAGCACCAGAATGCCTACCAAGGCTCCTTCGGCAAAGAAACCATCCCGCAGTAGAATGGCTCAGCAGTTTATGACTGTACCAAGTCACGATGCGTCGAGACCAGGCGCCACCAGTAACGGTGGAGAGAATGGCAACGGAGATAATCTAGAAGGCCTAGCCAGCCTCTTTGATTCGTAGCACGCATTGGGTAGCTGGCACTGCATTCAAAGACTGGATTAGCCGTGGCCAACATATTCCTCATGTTTTTGATGTATATCGAGATCGTATGCTCATTGACACTGGTATACCAGCAAAGACAATCTGTTAGAGGTGGAGGCGTGATATTGGTGCATTGGCCACTAATAGAGCTAGGACGGCACCGGTGACAAGGTCAGACAGTCAGGCCAGTTTGCCAGAACCTTACTTTGGACCGTTGACGCTGACATACCGTGGCAGGGTCTCTTTCCTGGATCCGGACTGGTGGCCCGAATGTAGATATAGTTGATATGTTACTGAACTCTGGCCATACCTTAGTTAGGTAGCATTTGCAGGCGTCTAAACTTAGCAATAAACAAAAAAAAAAGAATTCATCTATGAATAGTTAAGGAAAGATAGAGCCTAGTGCTTAGCAAGTTTAATAATAGGTGATGATGTTTGAGGCATATTAAAATGATTTAGTAATTATAATTGCGTTGCCTTCTAGTTATTTAATATCAACATACGTTCTATTGAGTTATCTTTCCATAGTTGTCTTTTGTATAAGACATAACTACGATATGGATCATAAGGTCTTAGAATAAATCTATGACTACCTAACTACCAGGTTTAAGACCTACAGAAGCTCCAACAAGGCTGACGACATTATAAGAGCACAAACCAAAAGATCCCCGTTTAAGAAACTTTCAGGTTCGGTCTTTTGATACATTTTTCAAACCTAGGTGCTGAGTAATTAAGACAAGTGACGAAAGGGGTTAAGGGGTTGCTATATTCTCATATAGTTATTTATATTTACTCGGAAGTTCTTTTCATGCCAATCATAGGTACATGTAATTCATTATTCGTTGTGTAAAAACTGGAATTATTCATGTAGTAAGATTCAACCTGACGGTCGAGTCAGGTGGTATTATGAAGTTGGTTTCTTACTAAGCTGGTGCTGGTGATGTTAGTTGAAAATGATGGTAAATTATTGTATATGTACCTAGGTTAGGTATGTATGTATTAATCAGAATGCCAAGTCCTAGCTCCGCAGTTTAATTATGATAACCGTTAGATTAATACACTAACCTACCTAGATAACAAACCTTCCTTGGCAGTTATGAGTTCATAAACCTAAAAATGGCTTGTGCCCGACGCGGGGAATTTGTGCATGACCCATGCGCCCATGCGCCCATGGCGAAAATGGAAAATACCTTAGCTTGGATTACCCTTGGGATTACCCTGCCCTTTTCTTCCCTATTCATCCACTAAACCTGCCAACCTGCCAACCTGCCAACCCGCAAACCCGCCAACCCATTTTATTGTTAATTGTTACAAGCACGTCTGATCGCCGGTTCAATTCAGTTTACCCTTCACATTACGGGGACCCCCAGCCACAAACACGAACTCCTAGGTTCGGTTATGATTCCACATCGTAGACCCGTTGGCTATTTATCATTTGTTGTCTTATTCTATTAACTAGTATTCATTGCGCGCTTTCAGATTCGTCCCGCTTCGTGACGCGATGCCGGACACGTTGATGGGGTTCTGATCTTCAATATGGCCGACTCCGAAGACAGTTGCTCGATACAGAGCGAGGAACAATTATGGACTGGTTCGTCTCGACTATTCCTCCTACGCCAAATCCTCTTTACTCATAAAGGAGAGGAGATACTTGGTTATTTTGTCCTCTCTAAACTCAGCTAATCTCATTTCTGTAGAGCTGAGTAAAGCTGTCGCTACTAATTGCCCTGCCGAAGCCCACGAGACCATCGATGATGCATTGCGATCGTGGCTATATCTCGCGTCGCGATGCCGAGACGAATTTTCTCAGTCCGAAGATGACGTAGCCAATTGCTCGCAAATACTCCGCCATGGAAACCTCTTCTATATCAACCCGGACTACGTGCGCACGCAGATTATCTATAGTTTACTACAGGAAGACGAACCCGGACCCCTATATGTCATCGCTAATTTCCTCCTACTCGATGGCCGAGCAGATGAAGCAACGTTCAAACGGATGATTGATGAGAGCTGTTTCCACCGTCTGCTCGAACTAATCAACGGGCGAAAAGACAACGATCCGGGCTTGCATCGACTACTATTAGATTTGATGTACGAGATGTCGCGGATTGAACAGCTTCGCGTCGAGGATTTGCTCCACGTTGACGATGGATTTGTTACCTACCTATTCGAGCTCATTGAGGACTTTTCTGACGATGCACACGATCCGTATCACTATCCCATCATCCGTGTCCTAGTAGGTTGAAAGCTACTCATAAAAGATATCTCATGTGCTAACTTGTCGCTAGCTTGTCCTCAACGAGCAATACATGGTCGCATCCACGGCCGCGATGAATGACCCCACGCTGACTGCGCCGCTGACAAACAAAGTCGTTAAGTGCCTTAGCTTATACGGTCCGAATTATAGGACGTTCGGCGAAAATATTATACTACTTCTCAACCGCGAAACCGAGACGTCTTTACAGCTTCTTATCTTGAAGCTCTTATACTTACTCTTCACCACCAAAGCCACGTATGAATATTTCTACACCAATGACTTGCGGGTGCTTCTTGATGTCATCATCCGCAACCTTCTGGACCTCCCAGAAGAATTGATGGCTTTACGACATACGTACCTTCGTGTGATGTACCCATTGCTTGCGCATACGCAACTTAACCAACCGCCCCATTACAAAAAGGATGAGGTGCAGAAACTACTCAGAATACTAGCCGGATCGGGAAATACCCACTTCGCTCCAGCGGACGAGACAACTCTGAGGCTTGTAGACCGCGTATCTAAAGTCAAGTGGCTTTCTGATGAGGGCACCGGTGCTGGAGAGATCGCGCGCAAATTGCTCGGCATTAGCCTCTCTCATGCGGAAACCGCCAGCAACGTTAGCGTCGTGCATGTGGCGGCGGTTATGGAGAAACCGGGTGTTCAGACGCCGAGCCGGAAAGCTGAGGCCGAAGCCGTAGCTAAAGATGAGGCAGAAGCTGAAATAAAGACTAAATTTGAAAATGGAGAAGTCAAAAACGAAGTAACCCGTCCAAGCTCCAGTCGTGGGGAAGCTAGAACGAAGGAGACATCAAAGCCAAGCAGGCCGAAGAAACCACTTCCTGAAGTGCCGAAGCACCGGCACGGAGTACCGTATGTTTCCGTGGGACACGAGAATAGCACTAGGAGTGTTAAGAAGGCACCACCCAAGGCGCCGCCGCCGAGACGGAGAGGAAGAATTAAGCATACTACAACTACGGAGACGGTGAGGTCTATATCAGAGCTAGTTTGAGGTTTGGGAGCTCTTTAAGAAAGAGCAAGGATGTAATTTGATTAATTATGGGCGGGGGCACTCCCACGGTGGAGATTGGACTCGGTGTCGTGTGGGAACGACCAGTAGAGAATGGCATTTTTGACATGGGAAATGGCGTACCGGGTAGGTAAGCCGATACTTGAGAATCGATATCCCAGAGATAGCATTTGCATAGGCGAGGCGTTTAGGAAAGGGAGGACGGGGGGGGAGGCTTTACCTTCTTGGAGTCAAATAAGGAATAACCGAATGACGCCTGCACCCTATAGTCAGTAAGAAATAGTTAATGTTCATGATAATTTTAATATTCAAAACCAAGTCTGGGGTTTTAAGGGTGAGTTATAATAGATTGAGAATGAGATCCTTTAATATAAGTCTCACGAGTCTTGATGCGGAGCTGAGTATAGCGGTATAGTGTTGTAGACTTGTCTCATTTTAATATATGTATGCAGGTACGACGTAGTAGTACAGCATGGCGAAGAGCGATTATACACATGGTTGCAAGCTCATAACGGCAATGAGGGACGTAGGTGGCTTGTACCTCCGTTGGAGGTGTAAGGAACAAGAGGCAGTATGGGGTTATGAACAACTATTCTTGCATTTACTTCTATAACTCCGAGCCAATGATGGCCCTATCAAATATCCATATATATGCAGAGTAGGGTGTGCTGCTTCTATTGGACGGGATTCAATGATTCTGATAGACGGAAACGTGCGGAACGGAACCACGGGTTCCCATGCAATGGATAGCTGCATTACTTATAGAAAAAATAGAGGAGTCTACCTAAATATCTAAACTAAAGCAAGTCAAAGATCTAAATATAAACGAAATATGATTCTGGTGGGCTGACGTTTATTATATCCAATGGCTTTATATGAGCTGGACGTTTAAGGAGTTAATTAACTAATGGAATCCACAAGGTGGATTAAATGAGACATTGGGGCACAACATACAAAACTTGGTTTGCATTGTATTAATCTCGATATGAGATCTGATGTATGATACTCATTTACCTAAAGAATCAATAGTATGTATATAACTAGGAGATACATGCGGATATTTCCGTATAGGCCCTAATGGATAAGCTACGTCATAGTATTGTCTGACAAAGACTCGTGCAATAACGCTAAACCCCGCCAGCCCGCCTAGTATAGTGGATCGACTTTGCCGGACCCTTGCTAGCTCGAAATACCGAATGCGGATGGTACGAACTAACAGCTGGTAAAAGCGAAAAAACGTATGAAGCTTTGCGTATGGCAGCGGCCAACGGTACATGCGTAAAGGTGGATCCTAGCTAAGCTAAGCTATCTTAGGCCTGTCTGTGAAGAGAATCGGGCAGGGCAAAAGCTTGGGGGGGGGGGGGAAGTCGCAAAGGTGACGACAACCACATCATCGTCACTGCGCATCCCTCCATGCTATTCTCTTTTTTTCCCTTTCTTCTTTTTCTATGCCTAGTGACCCGACCCTATTTTCTCGTCGATAACCTACCCGTTACTCCAGAATTCTACAACGAATTCCACTTCAATTGAAAGACTATCAGCCTCGTAAGTATGAATTGCCCTTACTTTATACTAGAGCCCAATTGAGCTGCCGCCCAACTTTCAACGAAGTAACTTACTACATATACATAATTTCTTTAAGCTAACCTTCTAGTTGTCATTTAGGACTAAAACCATTGATTGAACGAAAGTCAAACACGCCGTTCGTCACTACCGTCTGCAGCCATCTCAAACTCTATGCACCTCGCTACTATCCACGAATCTACGTTATCAGTCGGTGCTACTTAGGCGCGCGTCCTAAAAGATCCAACAAGTTCTAGGCAAGGTACGCTAGTGAGACTTTGTAAGACTCTGCAAGACTGAGACTTGCTTAAGCCTACGGGTTTGCCGCCCTCTATTCGCTAGTCTTAAACCTTCTTGACTTTACCCTCTAACCGGCACTTATATCTAGAATTACGTCAACGCTTTCATGTCCGCCAAGCCTTTACTACCTCTCGCTCCGCCCACCATCGACCCCAATATGATGAACCAGCCCGCCGCCACCACCACCACCACCACTACTCTAGATCCCGTAGCATTCCCTACCAACGGTAACGTAGGTGGCTACTCGAGGCCCAATTCCGGTGGCTACTTTCCGTATCACCAGCCACAAAGACCTCAAGTACATGATAAAACTCTATCCAACACGCTAGCCAATTCTCATATCACACCACCCCAGAACGATAACTACCAAACTGCGAATCGTCAGACTAAGTTTACCGAGGAGTGGGATGCAAGTGCGAGAGGTGACTCAGTCGTCGACGGTCCAACATCCACATCCCAGCAGAATAATTACCAGCATTCCACCATGCAACGCTCAAGCTCGATATCCTCACGACCCGAAATCCTTAATACCGGCGATGGCGGAAGTACTCACGCCATATCCCTATCGAGGGGAAATACCCTAAAGAAGAAGAGCTCTCTTCGTAGGAGTGGTAGTCTCAAGCGCAGCGGCAGTCGCAGGAGCATGAAGGCCGGCAGCGTGAGGAGTCTCGCCTTACAAAGTTCTCATGATTCGGACGAAGTTCACAGCGCATTCTATTGCCCCGTACCGACTTCGGGTAGCCCGACAGAAATACTGGCCGAGAGATTTCAGTGTAGGTTGCGACGTCTTCCGTGATTTGCTCGTCCCGTATATGTTTCGTTGCCACTAACGTTAATGTGTAGCTTGGAGGAAGATCCTCAAGGATCTCATCGCATATTTTAGGGAAATACAATCGCACTACGAGCATCGATCCAAGTCGCTTCTTAAGCTTGCCAACGTCCTTAACAATACGTCAACGCCGCCCGGCTTCCTCTCGTCCGGTGGGCTGGATGATGCGCTTCAGATCTTGAGAGACCATCACAAAAACATGATTATAGAGGCCAACAAAGCCAAGGAGATTGAACAAGATGTCATTCTAGCGCTAACAGGTCTACGAAGCGATCTTAATCAGAAGATAAAGGAGATAAGGGGCCTGTCGAGCGACTTTAAGAATTCGGTCGAGAAGGAAATGGACAGTACCAGAAGGGCTGTCAACGCGTTGCAAGAAGTCCTAGGACAGAGCGAGTTAGATTCCTCTGCGACTACGGGAAAGCAAGATCCATATCTCTTGCGACTCGCGGTAGATCGCCAGCTTGAAAGGCAACTCGACGAAGAGAACTATTTGCACAAGGTAAAACAATTCCCAATACACATAACTGGATAAAATCAAAATCTCACAGAAGTACAGGCATACTTGAACCTCGAGTCGTCAGGCAGAGAGCTCGAATCGATTGTCGTTGGTGAGATTCAGAAATCGTACAACGCGTACGTAGGTATTATCAAGCGGGAAGCGGACGCGGCGTACAACGCCATCGACGAACTCCGCGCCGGTCCCATCACGATGCCTAAGGATCACGAGTGGATCACTTTCATTCAGAGCGACTCGCAGTTCGTCGATCCCGACGTACCCCTAAGATCGGCCGAGCATATCCATTACCCGGGTCGAGATCATTTTGCTTGTCAAGAGATCCGTGCAGGTCTACTTGAGCGGAAGAGCAAATATCTGAAGAGTTATACGGCTGGATGGTGAGGTGTTCTTTTGTGAAATCATAAACCGCGAGTAAGCTAACATAAATGGGTAGGTACGTATTATCGCCAACTCATCTGCACGAATTCAAATCTGCAGACAAGACTCAGGCGCCCGTCATGTCGCTGTATCTTCCCGAGCAGAAGCTGGGTTCTCACTCCACAGAAGGTGGTTCTTCCAACAAGTTCATCCTCAAGGGGCGACAGACTGGGACTATGCACCGCGGTCATACTTGGGTCTTCCGTGCCGAAAGCCACGATACTATGATGGCTTGGTATGAGGATATTAAAGCTCTTACGGAGAAGTCTCCCGAGGAGCTGAGCAACTTTGTTCGGGGCCACTCTCGCGCGTATTCGCGGACTTCGCAGCGTACCACGAGCTCGGACGGTATGGTAGACGATGAGGACGACGAGCCATTTTCGGTCGACCCCGCCGTCGCAAGCCCAGGTTCTCGACAGGACTCTATGCAAAATAGGCCTGAGCCAGGAGGTCGGTTCCCATCCGACATACAAGTCAATGCACAGAGGGGCTTACAAGTACCGCGCTCTCCTAGCAGTGTCGGCTCAGGGCTTGTAGGGAACGAATACGCACTTAGCGGCGCCAACGGGGGCGCCAACCAAGATCGAGACGCAATCGCAGCCGCGGGCGCATTGCCCGGCAGCGGCATGGGCGAGCCCTATCCTACGAACCGGGCATCGCAGATGGTTGGACAGTCCTACGGGAACACTCCAAGCGTGAGATTGGATCAAGCGCACAGCCAAGCAGTAGTTATTGACCATGAGGCGCGAGCAGATGGTGTAAATCCTTATAACGGAGAACCTATCCAGCAGCAGCCACAGCAGCAGCAGCAACAGAGGGGATTGCCCGGCCGGCCCGTCATCATCCCCGGCCCAATGTCTAATAGCACGTCGCAGACCCTAGAGACTACTACCAGTCAAGACTCGGGAAACGCCGGCGCATACGAGATAGCTACCAACATGCAGCAGAAATACATGCCGAGCGCGGGGGCGGCGTATAGTATACAAAGTAAGGAGCAGCCGCAGATGGTCGGTGCAGGAAACGGGTTCGTGAAGCCGTTGCCAAATCCGGCTACGGGAATGCCATTTTCGGGGCAGAATGGACAGCCAAGGCCGTACGGCGAAAGGACAAATAGTAACCCTCACGTCCCTGGCGAATACCCGCGGGGCACACCGGGGAGCACACCGGGCGCTTATTAGATACCTAGAGAGATTCGATTAGCGGCTTGAACGGAACGTTTATCTTGTTGCGGTGGTGAATTGGAGACTCTGCGCTATATAACCTCGGGTTCCCTCCTGGATCATTTGGATAAGGCGGGGGGAGTGCTGCTTTTGGTTTATTCTCGATAGAAAGGGGACGATCGAACTGTGTTTATAAGCGACGAATGCTGGAAGTATACCTTTTTCTTTTTTCCCATTCTTCTTCTTTTCCGCGCGGCGTTGGTTTCTCTCGTTCTTTTGTATACCAGAGCTAGCCGAGGTTGCAAAAAAGGGGGACGGGGCGGCGGCGGCGGGTTGAATCCTTTTTTTTGGTTTTTTTTTCTCCTTACGATAGGTTACTTGGGGTATATACCCTGCTCGTACGAGTCGCGGGGTGCAATGGGACTTGGAGTGGTGATGTGCGGGTGGGTTGGGTTAGATTGGGGATGAGTGGGATATAAATACTGAATATTGATATAAGTATGGATATGGTATAAGATAGGGGTGACTACGAGTACGGGTATGGGTATGAGTATACGCAATAAGAAACATGCTTTTTTTTTTCTCGTATGCTTTAGAGCGAGTGAGGTATTGTGCTGTTTGAGTGCTTGCGTGACTAGTGGCTGGATAGTTGCGTTGTGATGGCAAAGTTGAGAAATGTCTGAGAGATATGTTGAGTTACGGGATACAGCTCGTGGCTTGAGTGGTTAAAGTTTAGGATGATGTTGAATGGAAGATATATCCTATTAACTTGATTGCTAGAAATATATCACATCGAACAATGGGCCAACCTCGAGACCCAGCCAGCTCTTCTGTTTGCGTTTGGTATATAAACTGATGTGGTCACTAGCTCACTACCTACCTACCTACGTAGGTTAGATATAAACCTCTACCAAGGTATCATAGTTCCAAACTGATAGAGGCTGGGTTAGATCTTAATAGCCTCGGTTTATGTTTAATCTCCCATGCAACTACAACACGTAATTATCCATAACTACCTACCTACCTAGGTACCTAACCTAGTTATATATCTCTACAACTTTTTGGCTCAAAGACCCTCATCAAATCAGTCGTTAATTTCGAATAGAGAACCACCCCTTACTTGGGTAGTATTTCTAGTAGGTTAGGTTAGGTTATGTTAGGTTAGGTAGTTGAAATAACTCGACATATAACCAATCAATCAACAATATAAACTAATAAAACAGCACGCAGCAATACAACTTCAACAACGTTCACGTAATACATATACCTAAACACTCATATATTTACAGCCAACCGGTAAGTATCCCGGCCGAACCAACAGAGCTTTTCGTTCGTTCATTCGTTCGTTTGTATATTTGTATATTTTTACCTCGAGGTAGGTAGGTAGGTAGGTACCACCTATATGCAAGCAAGTGCGAAAAAAAAAAAAAAAAAAAAGACATTTTTTAAAAATGAATCAGAACTTTCCTCGCAACGCCATTCCCGTACCACGTGAGAGAACATTTGAATGGGCGGGCCCACCACCACCACTACTACTACCACGGGACCGACGGGAGAACAAAATCGGAGGGAAGCGGGGTATACACATATATTCTCGCTCCCAGCTTTTAGAATCGACCTCCTCGGCTGAAACCGCCCCGTCCCCTACCGCCGCCACCCCGGCTGAATCCACCGCTACCTCCGCGACTACCACCGCCTCCCCGGCCGCCTCCGAAGCCGCTACCGCCAAAGCCACCGCGCCCACCTCTCGAGGGGCCCCCTCTCCCGCCGCCAAATCCGCCGCGTCCACCGCCGCCGAACCCGCCACGGCCACCGCCTCGGCTAGGTTTCTTGACCTTTGGCGCGCCGGGCGGGGGCTTCGGCCTGGGGAGGAACTTTTCCAGGGGGAGGAGCTTCTCGGAGCCGATGAAGAACTTGTCGCCGGGCTTGAAGGAGGCAGCCTGGATGCCCTCGGTGGGCTTGATGGTGAAGTAGACCTGGTTGATGGGGCCGAGGACCTCGTCGACCTTGCCGACGGCCGTCTTGTTCTCGAGGAAGATCTGCGCGTTGAAGTGCGGCACCTTGGGGTTGATGCTCTCGCACACCATCTCCCCCTCGCACGCGTGCAGGAAGCTGCCCATCTCGAGGATCTGGTCCGGCGGGCCGAAGTCTCGCTGTCCGAAGCCGCCGCGGCCTGATATATATATGTGTATTATTAGTCTTACGCGCATTATATTTAGGGGTTGGGGGGATTTGGGGAGATCCTAAAGCGTAGAAATAAGAGCTGCGAGAAGAATAAAATCATTCACGTACCGCCTCGACCACCTCCTCCGCGACCTCCATTGAAACCTCCTCCGAAGCCGCCACGTCCGCGCGGCGCTCCTCTCGACATAGTGACGTGTGTTACGAGGTCAATTGGCCTCCTCTATGGGTTGTGTATTTTCGGGGTTGATTGACGATCGTGGTTCGTGAATTGGGAAGTTTGTCCAAAGGTTTAATTGATTGAAGCTTTCAGCTTTCGGACCTCGAATAATATTTTTTGCTGTTTTGCAGGAGCTAAAGGTCCCCACCTGCACTTTTTTCTCGGGCGGAAAAAGGTGCGCGGATGATAAGGTGTGTTATCGATAGTGGCTGATAAGGACTGTGCAGCTGATAGGTAGCTGGATAGCTTCAATTTGGTATTACATAATAATACATTTCACTTACATCATTCCAGATATGTTAGGTAGGTAGGTAGGTACCTAACGCAATTTAAGACTGACGCAAACAAACGGTCTAGACTAGACTGCTTGTCAAACACCCGCCCCCCTCTCATTTTGCTCGAAACGGCTTGTTCCAATGTCGAGCCAATAAGAGCAGGTGAAAACTACTCAAACCTGCCAAACCTGTCCTTGTCCTACAGCAACGAGGGGAATCCCTTCATGAACAACACGCCCGATTTTAGTACTGAGCGGGTTGTTGTTCTGGTTTGTTATCTACGGGGGCTGTGTTAAGGATTTGTTGTACTTCCCCATCGGACCGTAATATCAAGTCTTTAAACGAATAATTATGTCCAACCTAATCTTGCAGAAGCAACCCGGAGGCCTTATCCGACGTAACTCAGCTAACAAGTTTTAGAAGCACAGAAGCACAGAGATGTCTTGGAAATATAAAAGCCATGAAACCAAACTATTCCTTCACGGGGTGCTTGTGGTTCACGAGATAGACCCTCGATGCGAGCCATTCTAGCAGCCTCCTAAGTGGTTTATTGCTGTGTTGCTTCGGGATTTGGTCAGCTAGAGGGCCATTCTCTATTTGCACAGCCTAGAGTCATATCAGAGGACAAGCAGCTTTGTCATCCCGTAATAATCATGGCTCAGCATTGTGTCAAACAAAACAAGACGCAAAACCTGGTGACATTGATTAGCCAGCTCTGACTCTGAGCGAGTGACAAGCAATAAGGCTATACTTAGTATCACAACAGCTGTTCGGCTTCAGATCATGTTAGCTGTCAAGGCAAGAAATCTGACCAAAACCTGTATCATCACCATCAGGACCTACCTAAATCGTCCTGAATCCTCCTACGATGAAACTAATCGAGATCGTCGGCGCTCTCATGAAATCGTCATGACGTCGGATGGTTCCACGACGATGCGGGATGGAATTTAGGATTTGCCAAGTCACGTTGCCATTCCTTTCTGCAAGCGCAAAGTCGGAAAAGTGGAAATTTCAAATGTACGTGCGAGTCGAGTCGAGATCGGCCCCCAACGCAGGTGTCCGTGTCCCTGGTGTCGTGCTAGGATGGCGGTCTTAGCATCATGGCGAGCCGGGATGAGCTGTACGCTAGAACGCGTCTTGTACTGCCATAGCGAGAACGCATATGAATTAGTATGGTCTGTGCATAAGAGGATACATATTCTCCCTCTAGGTGCGATAGGCCAAAACTTGGCGGACTGCTAGCCTTATTACAGGAGGCCCGACAAGATAGCTGGATAGGTAGCTGGATAGCCTATTGGATAGCCTATTGGTCCAGTATAACGTCTACTGTTCAGGATCCTACAGGCCTAAACCAAGACGGCTTTCCCGGGAGAATTATAAAGAACATGGCCTTGACGTCGCATTGTCCATATCACCGATTGCTGGTGTCTTGGTTATAGACCTGTATCATCTAAGTTATACATACCTACCTAGTTAGTTAGTAAAAGCAATCTGACAACATCTGCACAGGCTATAAAACCCTCGCAAGCCTGAACCATTCTTATCTATTAGAAAATTAGGCAGGTCGCTGGTATTCCTAAGGATTGGCATGGCGGTTTGTGTTATGTATTTTATCTGTTGTCAATTGGACGGACACAAGTCGGCTTTAAACGCCCTATTTTCTTTTTTCAAAAGCCGACTTATAAAGTTATCCCAGTCCAAGGTCTTAAAGAGTTCAGACGGGTTTTACTCCGACAGATGCCTCACATTTAATTAAGTAATTCCGTCAAATACGGTAATAAGCATAAGGCTGGTTTTCTAAGACATGCCCAGACATGCCCAGCTTGCCTGGAGCTGCCGTATCTTCAGCAAAGTTGGCCTAAAGATATATGTATTTCTTTTTCTCGGCGGCTTGGCAGATGTAGGTAATCCTTAATTTGATGTTCTAGACCGGCACCTGGCCTGGCGTCAGATGCTTATGAGTCCATTTCGGCAGGACTGCCCATGTGCGGCACAGAAGCTTATGCTTCGACACGAGTGAGGTGGCCGAGTTGTCGCTTTCGCTTTTCTGCTTCCTCCGTCTCCATGCACAAAGCTGAAGAGAAGAGATAAATTATGCTGCCGCACGTGTCAATGCTTGCGGGATTGCGGTTAGAAGTCTCCGTCGATGCGGTCGAAGCTAAGATGGCCCCCATCGCGCTTTAGGCATCGATGTTGTTGGAAGGGGCTTTATAATCTGCGATCAACGCCGTCTACTCCTTTTAATTGCTGATCAGAGCCGATCACAGTGGCAGGACGTAAATCTTTTGAACAACGCGGTCTAGAAACTCAAATTAAAATAACTAGGTTAGCATGTTAATATTAATAGTGATTTTCTTAGAGGGTGAATTAGTTATTCTAGTGAGTCTAGCTTGAAGTCGGAATAAATTAGTACGTAGTAGCCCGCGTATTGGGGGTCGTTCCTTATGAGTATGTAGTATCCGAGCAAACCAGGATATTTGCTCTAAATTTACCAAGCGTCGTGCAGCTGAGTCGACAAATGGCGGATAGTCGTCAGACCCTAGTACAACCCACCCTGGTAGATATGCGTGTGTCGAGGTGTTATGCAGTTAGTATCGTGTTCGCCTTGTCTAATGCCATTTATCAATGGTCAATATGATTTCACAGACAGATGATAGGCTATAGCTATACGAGCTGCTGAAAAAAGTCGAACTACTCTCAAGCCGGTGATTGTTTAGGATGTGGTGGTCTGGACCACGATGACATCGATTGCGGTGAATGAGCGGGTAGGTAAGATAAATATACTCATAAAGACAAATTTGAATATGAGGTTGCTGTACATAGCATCACCGTATACCGTATACCGTATACGCAATCGTAGTAACACCCGTAGATCTGGTATCAATGGAATTGTATATGCCGTGTGTCCACGCAAAGATCGGCAGAAGTTGGATGGAGAAAAAGAATGGGATTTTCAGATTACATAACGTTAGATAATAAGAGATATACATTTACAAGGTACATAGGTAGTAGGTAGTACATTGTAGTGTAAACCATATATCCATGTATATACATAGCAGGATCCATGTAATAATGATGGGACTACCTTAGGTACCTACATAGGTAATGATGGATGTGGGACTGGAAAGAGCCATGAGCTTGCTCAAGGATCCCCTAACTTAAATTTACCTAACCTGCCTCTTAGAAGCAGCTAAGCAACACTTAACCTAGTAAAGTAGTATCCCGCAAACTGCCTAAGCCACCTCAACCTTTCGCCCTTCTTTGCCCTTTTTGCCCATGCGAAGGATTATCTCTTACCATAGCAGCTTAGGTACCGCGTATATTGCACCAACGAAGTCTCATGCATTCGAATAGCGGAAAATAATTATTAACTGCCTGAACTGTCGCCATCTTTTCTCTCGCCCCTCCCTTTTTCTTCATACCCTAGTCTATCGTTTTTAATTTCTTTTCCATAATATGACCCTTTCGTCAACATCATTGTCGCCGCGGTCGTTGTTGTGGACTTGACATCGATAGAAACGTCTATATGCGTCGGCGTTAAGTATCCTACCGCATCTACATAACGGTGTAGACTTATAGGAACATTTTATCTTGGCAATACGAACATCTTGGTATTCTCGAGCGCGTTTCGCACGGGTCGCAAAATCAAAATGAAGCAACGAGAAGAGGATGTCGAGTCGCACGCTCAGCTGCTTTCCAAGGAGACTCAGTCGCCATCGAGCGAAGAATTCGATTACGACGAACCCGGAAACATCCACCAAAATCAGTCATCTCGCCGCAGACGTCGGATAGAACAGAATCCTTTATGGCGCCGTATCCAGTCGTTCACGTTACCTCTCTGGGCGCCTTGTCGCAAATTCAGCCCTAAATACTACATCTTCGCCATTGTCATCTCTTTGCTCATCACGCTGTTCATCTTCAACCCCTATTCCCCTACAATACCTACCCAACACCAGACAGACGTAGACGTGTCTCCCGGAACGCCAACGAGTAGTGCCGTATCTAGCGCCGTATCCAGCGTCGTACCTAGTGTCGTGTCCTCCGTCGTATCCTCCACGAAAGTCGCAAAGCCAGTCGCAAAGCCCACCGAGAGTCCGATATCTGCATACAAACCACCAAAGCTCGAGGCCAACGACAAGTATTGCACCACGTGGCCCGTAGGCGAAGATGGCCAGTACGAACCCAAGGGAGCCAGCCGAACCGACAAGATTAAGATAGATAGCATTGCTCCTAAAGGCGGGTGGAAAAAACCCGCTGGCATCAAGATCATCGGTATGGTCTTTTATGGCCGTAAGAGATATGTGGACGTCTTGGATTGTTACCTCCAGCAGAATCTGGCATCGAACGGTGGCTACTTTGACGAGGTGTGGTTTATGGCCCACACCAAGGAAAAAGACGACGTTACCTGGATAGAAGATCTCGTCAAGAAGACTCCCGGTTATAAGATTGTGGGCAAGGGGAAATGTGAAGGCGAAAAGTATAAGTGCATGTGGACTTATGCCGTCGAGGATAAAACTATATATGTCAAAATAGATGACGACATTGTGAGTAAACCCTTATATCAAGCAGGATGGTATCTGGTGTCTGGTATCTGGGAGACTAGGACAAATGATTGACTGACCTAATTATTCAGGTTTATATCCATCCCGACGCCATCCCTCAACTCGTCCATACCCGCATTGCCCTACGTCACCCGTATGCCATCTCGTCAAATCTGGTTAACAGTCCCGTCACGGGAATGGAACAATACCACTACGGTGCGATCCATCCCTTCCTCCCGGATCCGAGCAGCAAGCCTTCGTTCCACGCTGCGGAGACGTGGCGCACTTCCGAGAAGAAGAAATACCCTAAGGACCAGCTGGTGGGAGAATACAATGTCATGGACATGGAACCGTCGTATCGCGGCCACCCTTGGCTCCTTATATCCGACGATCACTATGACCTACTGAAGACACCTATGGGCAAATACGACCAGCACCGCGGTTCCGACCCAATCGCATTCGGTTTGGCCTGGAAGTCGTGGGGTATCGGCGCGCAGCAGCAATATTCTCTCTTATACAATCTTGAGCAGAATAAGATGCAACGCTATTTCTTCGGCCGAAATATTCGATACCCAGAAAATGCTTTGGGACCCAATGCTTCCGCGGTGGTCTTCCCTAACGAGGATGGCCCCGGCGGCGAGCAGACATATGATACCGGGTACAACCGATACAACTTGAACTTCTGCGCCGTATGGGGTTCCGATATCAGAGATCAATTACCCATTGCCGACGATGACGAGCAAGATATCACCGCAGATATCCCTAGGCGCATTGGACGGCCATTCGTCATCGACACCCGCTCCGTAGTAGGCCACTTCAGCTTCTTTACCCAAAAAGATGGCATCAATAAGAGTGACCTTCTGGATCGATGGCGGGCATTCGCGAACGAAGCGGTCTGTACGGCAAAAAACCAGAAGAAGCCATGGGATCTGATGTGCCCGAACTTCAAAGCCGAGGGCGGTATGGGACGGTAGTAGAAGGTTCGACGAGAAGTCGAAAAGAGAAGCTATGAAAAAGCTAGCGGTGGTAATATTTTCCTCACATGATGTTTCATAACATTTTGCGTGGCGTTCCTGGGTTCTTGCATACGAAACGAAACCGGTCTGTTCTGTGCCGTACTATAAGACGTTCGAGGGAGGCCGGTCGTGGTGAATGGAAATGGAATTGATGATGCGCTGCATTTGCGAGTTTTATATACGGAAGGTCTCATGAGAGGGCGGCGAGGCGTGCAAATGTCGTGGAATCTTCGGATGCATGCGTTCCTCTTGTATATAGATGACTAATTATCTGCCTAGGAGAATAGGTTGGGTCATCTTGGTTACGCTGCGGATTGAATAAATAAACAATAGCATTGCAAGAAAATTGTGTTTTCAGCAGCCCTTTGAAAAATAAATTTAAACAAGGTATAAGGTATATAATAAAAAAGAACTCCCCCACCTGGCGGGGAGAAGAATAGATACCTAATATATGTAAAGTATGTATATCAAATGCTGGTTGTACGCGCGTCCCGAGCTGTCGGGCCCCGTTCCTAAACCTTGTTGCGTTCGCTCGCAGGGATAGGTTTAGGGATAAGTTTAGGGGGTCCAAGCTCGGCAGAGTTATAATAGATTACGGTCTACGAATGGGAAGGACCCGCGAAGTCCGAAGTAATTCTCGGCGCGTTCCTTTACAGCAATAGGGCCTTGGTACGGCTCCGGAGGGTAGGGTTCGTTGCACAGGGACGGATAGAGATGCCGAGATGGGTGGTCAGAGGGTTGGGGGTGATGAAGTATGGACTTGATTGATGGGTCATGTTGCTTTGCATTTATTTATTATTTATTTATTTATTGATCGGTTGATTCGATGCTGTCTTTGCTAATATAAGCGTCAATCCAATAGAGTGATGGTATCGGGTATCGCGTTTATTTACGGCAGCTGTGACGAGGTTGAAGTAAAATAGGGAGAGTCTAGGTTAACCGGGCTAGGTGTAGAAGAAGTATGTAGTATTATGCCCAGGAATGAGGCTCAGGTTAGGTAAGCATTTTATGTAAGTGATAGGTATGGACTTAAGGGGGGAAAGAAGAGAAAAATCATTGAAGAAAAAGAATAAGAAGAAAAAAAAGGGGAAAAAAATTGGTCAAAATGGCAAAATGGTCAGTCATATGGCAGTTGCGAATTTGCTAAATAGTCCAACATTGTCCCGAGATAAATGCGAATGTATATGGTGGAGTACCTCCAAAAGATGGCAGATAAATTTGAGAGATGTGCAGCTGAGCTAAATGCAGTAGATGGCGGAATAGATTACCAGTTGTTTGTTACTACGGTATATGAAGTTTACCCGCTCGTTGAAATTTGCGTGTGCGCTGCGCTGCGCTGCGTTGGGTACTTAGGTATGTACCTCATAAGGTTCGTGCACCGGGTCAATGATACTGCAGAGCGTCAACAGGTGTGAGGACCTAATGTTGCAGTTTTATTTTGAACTGGAGATTGAAAATGGAGTTTTGATAAGTTGTGTTACCGGCGGTGGGTTTTAAGGCCGTCTTGAATGTAGTAGATTTTGTATATACCGTTTTCTACCCTGTGCCTTACTCCGAGGGGCCGATAGTTATATGTAATAGGCGTAGGGCATATTTAGGTACTAGATGGTGTACTTAATGTGTACTTGATGGAATGGGAACGGACATGCGTATACCTTGGTTTTTCGTGGGGCTTGTTTAGAATGCTCTAAGGTTTAGATAATAAGTAGAATTATATAATTAATAAGTACATAAATGATAAGGCAGGTATCTTAGGTAGCTCATCTACTGCATATTAGATATAAAGCTGCAAGTTCTTACATTATGCAAGAGTCATACTACTTGAGTAGCAATAGGAATGCTTTTTATAAAACGGATACCACTGTAATATCATACTGCACCGTTGGTAAACCTAGATGATGATAATACTGTTTACGTTTACCACATCTCAATCATATACCTCATGGCATCTTGGTGTGAGATGTATATATACAAAGTACCTCCTTACTTATCCTTATACAGTTGATAAACTAAGTCAACATATAACATAACTATAACTCGTACATCGTATCTTTTGGTGAAGATGACCTGGCACGTATATGACACATAAAACGTTTGGTGTATCCCCTCAAAGAGAAAATACCTAAGATGAAATAGGGGTAGGTAAGCAATAGTTGCTTATAACAAGATTTGAACCTACTTGGGTATTTATGTAAGTCAGGCACCTAAGGTCTTACCAGGAAGTTGATAGCCATACTGACTGTCTCTAACATAAGAGGCAATAGAACTATTTGAAATTAATGTACCAACCCGTAATATTCATTAATGTAAAGCCTCAAAGCCCAAGATAGTCTACACTCGTCCTAGAATACCACAACGCAGCCCCAAGGATTACAACAGGGAGTAGGAATATTCCCGCCTTTCGTACCGTAGCCAATGCTATCGTTAATTTCCTCTTAGTATCACTTGCTCTATGAGACTTCCGCTCATTCAAGCGCGGGAAAGGCACATCAGGAACCTCTTTCCCCAGAAAAGCGCATAGCGGTCCCCAACCATCTCCCATCCTATATTTTAATCTCCTCTCGGGGGGCACCATTTCCCTTATTCTCCTGTAATACGCCTCGTAAGCCACGCGTGCGTTAGCTTCCACACCGGCCCTATCCTTGGCCCCAAAAAAGCCAAAATGGACCTTCTTCATGGTGGGGCCCGATCGTATGCCCATCACATGCTCCAAGAGAAAAACAGAGACTCGTGCTACAGGAGAAAATAAGGTATCTAGAAACTCGGACCTGTAGCTAGGCCACCAGGATTCGAAGTCTCGCTGGACGATGACGACTTTTGCGTCTGGGTATGCTTGGATGAGCTGGTCCGCAAACGGTGATGCTATATCAGTCGCTATGTCGTACTGGGACCCCCAGAGCTCATCCCAATCGGACCTTGTTAAGGGTGGTCTTGGACGTTCTCCGGCTACCGTCCGTTGTGCCATTGCCCTATAGCCCCTATAGCCAGCAAGGCAATATAGTCGAACACGTTTAGCAATATTTCCTCGTATTTGCAGTGTATTATTCGAAGAAAGTATGTATTTCAGAGAGAACACATGCGGTTTATCGGATACTAAGAATCTACATAGAAACATACTAGAGAAACTAAGGTGTTCTAAGGTAGTTAATTAATCTATACATTAAGTCCTACCATTACATACTCGTAACTTCGTTCTCCTATTTAAAACCTGCACTTCTCTTGCGCACACGCACTTGACCGTCGTTATATAGGAGTCTGATCCAGCCATGAGTTCTCGGCTCAAGGCGATTGCTCGTTGACTTCAGATAGCCTATCCCACCGCACTCCCTGCTATTTAGACGTCTCGGTCTCTTGAATGACTTCTGTCGGCAACACCCTCCGGATGTCAATATCTACGAATTAGCACCGTCTGCAACTTGGTAATAATTTAGAAAATCCATTAAGAGGCTATACGCAAAGATGCTTCACTTTATACATAACTAACCCAAGCTTTATAAGTGTCCGAGCTCGGATCTCCGATATTAAATAATACTTGGAGATTTAAAAACTCCAATTGTTTGTTGAAAGTTTCAATTACTTTAAAAGGAGAAAACTAAGCAATCAAGAAGTAAAATAATAAAAACGATGCTGCTTACATGTGCTTAGCAATTGGATCCTCAATTGTAACTTACAATATGTACCTCATAGTATAGCAACAGCACACCTTCCAAATACCAGGGTATTTCCCAGTTCCTTCCCGTGTCAAATGCGTGGATCCCACCTTGCTGTTAATTAAGATTGCCACGTGACTGCGCGTTTCTATGCGCCTGCTTCCCAAGAAGTATCTATTAAAGTATCTATTCACAGAAATTCACGGCCCTTCTTGCCAGAAGCAGCTGCACCCCTCTTCGGGGTTCCTTACTTCAACACTTTCGCCATTTCTTATTCTGCTGAAGAGATCCGCTCACTTCTTTCATTTCTATCAACACTAATATCTTCCTACACACATACATATACTCATCAGCGCAACAAGTCTCCCCGACACCATCACGATTCGCAAAACATACTACAACCACTCTCTTTTCAAATCTCATCATCATGTCTACTCCTACCAAATCCGGGAATGGCTCCGGCGGAAAGCTCCAGCTGAACCAGCGCGAGATCGAGGTCATAGCCATGGCATTCATGTGCATCAGCGACATCAAGGAGGGCGTGCCCCAGGTAAGAAATACTCTCCAGCTCATTAGTACCTGTCGCACACTATTTTACCATCTTCTTCCGCTCCCAATGATGTCACCGTGAATCCCTTGAAATATATGTCTCCTCGTACACATCAACCAAATACAACGCTCGTCCTTAATAAGACTGGAGCAAGCTACACTATACCACGTGATATTACTTCTTGATACCTACTGAAGGCCAGCACACTGATCATATAATGCGTGTAGGTGGATGCTAAAAAGCTCGCCAAGATCGGCAACTACGCCAGCGCTGACTCTGCTCGCCACACTTGGAAACCCATCCAGAAGAAGCTCATGGCCCATACCAGCGGTGAAGGCGACGGCTCTCCCCTCATAGCCACTCCTTCTACCAAAGGCAGGGGTGCCTCCAGGAAGCGCAAGGCCGACGACGAGGCTGGTGAAGGTACTCCCACCAAGAAGCCCCGCGGCAGGAAGGCCTCTAAGGTCGTACCCAAGAAGGAGGAGATCGAGGACTACTTTGACGAGGAACTGGCCGACGGCGAGGCTTAGGCGTGCTCTTAGCGCCGGATTTATTTGATTCTATTCTACAGGAGGACTTGCGTTTCAGCTGGCATGAAGCAAAGGAAATCCCGGATTTACAGCTACACGGCGTTGACTAGAGGCAATTTGCTGTGGTTACTACGGTTGGCAGGCGTGATGTGCAGGATGGTGCTGCTGGATCTGCATTGAATTTGCAGTGATTTGCGTTGATATTAGCAGCATATTAGATCATTTTCTACATCGAAGAGACGTGCGTGCCACTATCGATATTATCCTAAGATCTTCTCGTAGAAATTGACAGTGAGCTGATTCTTGTTATTACTCCGGTTATGGCAATTGGTAAGGATATATGATGAAGTGAAGCTAGCTAGTCGTGGAATCTCAGTATATGTGGTAAGTATTCGGGCTGGGTGAAAGATGTATTTCTGACGGATGTAAAGATCGTTGAAGGTCTGTAGTAGCCACTTGCGATACTTGAAAGCTTGCGTACATTCTAGTTCAGTCAAGTCATATATCAAGGCTAATTTGCAGGACTTCAAGAGTGAACAGATGAAGCTGGGATAAGAGGAGCCTCATACTTATAAAACTACGTTAGAATGGAGAGGATGTCAGGAATAATAGGGATTATATATGTAGTCGCTTACATGGTATACATCTAGCAGATTTCAAGCCTTAACTGCTTGGGTGACTTAACAATATCTAGAAAGTACCTGGTTTACCTTAGAATAAACAATTAGATTCATATAAAAACATGTCATGGATGGAAGTATTTTTTTACGTATGTAGTCCTAGAATACCGGATGATGTAATTTTGCATAAAGGTTGTAAAGGTTAATTTATAATATAATCATGCATTGGGTACATGATCGTGGATGTACGCATATGTATGTTGTAATTATGAGTTACATACTATTAAATTTAATAAAAAATAAAAAAAAGAGTCTAAGAAAAATAATACGAAAGAAAATAGAATAAAGCCAAAAAAGATGGGCTCAACCGGGAATTGAACCCGGGACCTCTCGCATCTGCGCTTGGAAGCGTAGGGACTTCGGTGGCCCGAAGCGAGAATCATACGACTAGACCATTGAGCCGATACAACAGGAACCCTAATCCTTGTCTGAATTCAGACTAGAGAACTCGTCTTGCTGTGGAAGACTGGGCCGTTATTTTTATTTTTATTCCTGCGTTGGTGGGGGGTGGAACAGTTGCACCTGGTTGGACGCTAGGGCCCCACTGTTTTCGTGTTCGGGTAGGGGCTAAGCTATTACGGCTAGGTCTGCAGGGTAAGTAGGTACCTTGGTCTTATGATGATGTATCTAAGTGGCTGTTTGTATGCGCTTGATTAACATGTGAAGAATTCCTAATGCCGGTAACATTGACATTGGGTACTTATAGAACAATGTTAAGGATATGTTATAATTCGTAGTTTCGTCGTGATGATTGGTTTCTACCGTTTGTTACATATTGTCGCACTACTTAAGGTGATTGTGAGGAATTATGGTGAACCGAATATTAGCTTGAGAGCCATGACCCAAGAAGACGATACAAGGAGGTCGAATGTCTAACAATTAGATAGTTAATTAGCCAGAATATAGCGTTGTATAACTCCTTGATGATGCAACAGGAATCTGGGCATAGCTCAGTTAATGTTGATATAAAGATGTTGAATAATGATTTCCATCTACGAAAAGGGGAGATCCGTATATAAACTTTCGAGGGCGTTCTTAGAACTTTTAAAGCTCTATCAGTTAAACCTCAAGAAGAGTGGCATGGTCTTGATTATGTTTAAACTATGGGAAAGCTGCTAACTTGAAGTACTCTCTGGACACTATAAGTTTATATGTTAGTAGGTTCGGTCATGTTATTCGCAATCTGAGAATAAACCCTTCCATATGATAGCACGCTCATTTCTACTTGACCTCAATATCCTCTTCCATCTTCCGCCTGCCCTAAGAATAAGATCACGTACCCTACAGTGTTTTCTCCCATCAATACCATATATACCCATTGCCTCTCATAATGTGCTTCTTGCGGGCGTATATCATTTTATTTCTGCTAGGGGATTATAACTTTGACCGAATTTGACAGTTCACTTGTACCGCCAACGTCAAGGAATGTTCGTTCTGTGGTATAAGCTACCTATTTTGTTGGTAGCATCTATTAGGTATCTATAAGGTGACGACTACAATGCTCGTAAGCACACGGAGACAACATAAGAGAAACAACGGAGTGGTAACTCAAACGCCAGTAACAACACCATGCTGGAGAGCCGGTCAAGTGATCTGTCCCTATACACAATAACTATCTTCGAGCCAGTTTTCCCTCAGACTATTAATGAGTTTTAATGCCTTCACATAAAGACAAGGATTTTCTATGGGGTTGGTACATACCTTGTATTTAGTGTGCTGGATCAAAATTGATCTCTAAGAGGGGGTGAGAATTGAGAAAATTCAAGAAGGTAGATGAGCGAGAAATGATTGTGGCGGCGAAAGTAAGATGAGAATTGACCTGAGAAGATGGCCCCTATCAAAACCCGAAGATCATAATTAAGGGGTAACTGATATTATGCCATACTAATATGGAGAAATCAAATTGTTTTTCGCTTCTATGTAACTTACATGGTGACTGGTGAGGTTGTTTCTGAATTGCCTACCTAAGGCAATACTTCTCGACTTGAAAGTGCTATCCACTATGGATCCCATAATCCAGGTAGCTACTGGCGCTGTGGAATATGGAGATGATAAAAACTTAGTAGAAATATCAAACAGATGAAGAAGCTAGAGATATTAGTGCTAAATGATATAGGGGAGGGAAGCCACGATAATAAATATAAGTATAGGAAGTTACACAAGAATTATGTATGTAGGACGGACTATTTGAGAAGCTGCAATGCATACTCTCTATCTTAGGTACCTAGGTATGTAAAGCCCGGGATTCGGATAGATCTTAGTACCTGACACCTACGGTACAATAACGGATACTATTTCATCATCTCACATTGTCAACAGTTTCGTAACATATTTGCTCCCAGCCTGCATTGCTTTCAAACCCGGGGTATTTGTATGCAGTAGTGCCCAAGATTGTTATTTCATACTACACACTGGGCTGGAATTTATTTATTCAAACCTTGCATTCAAGACTTCAAATTCTTCGAGATACCAGCCAAAGCACCTAGTACAGTTCTGAGAAAGCAACAAGAAGAAAACACCCACACCCTCCTGAAGACGATGAACCCACGAAAACGAAGCTACAGTTCAGTTGGGCCTTTGATGGACTCTGCAGAAGGACAGCATCCTAGGGAGACATCTGCAGACGCAGGACCCTCATCTGCGAAGAAGACTCGGCCCTTGGCAGAGTACGCTCAATCTTTACCCGAGTTTAAATATGTTACGGCAAAGAGCAAGCCTCCGGGAGCAAACGATCCGTTACTTCCGCCTAAGCAACTTACGGAGAGGGTTCGCCAGGTACTTAAGGAGGTTGCTCCTTTAGTAGGGGTTAGCCAACTAAGTAATAATGAATTCACTGATTTCATAAACTCTCTTTGCTCCATGAGAGAACTGAGTCTACCCCCTCTTCAGTCCTCCTCTTCGCATTTAAAGGATAAAAAGGCTGACGCCCCCTGTCGAGTATGGGTCACCGCAATCACTAACGCCTGTAAACCGCTGCCGAAACCGATGATCCCCCTTTGGAAGGAGGATATAAAGACAGAGGATGGGGCATTTCTGGCGTTACAGAGCCCTGTTTTTGAGCTCTGGAGGTTGATAGATGGTGTGAGTACTGCTGTGCTAATTATGGCGGGACGTAAGCCGACATGGAATCTTAAGGGCTGGGAAGCGCATAAGGGCAAAGATGGCAATTGCATTGCAGAAGGTCCATTTCTTCAGGAATGTAGAGGCCTTCATCTCACGGAGGCTATTGATCTGAAGGACAACCTTCTCAAACTTTATAGAGAAGCGGACCTCGATAATCACCTAAGGATTTCACTTACCGAGTGTATTACGTCTGCTAAAGGTACCAGCAAAATAGACAGAATGCCGGCCTTGAAAGCGCTTTCAAGATTATGCGTACCAATCACCAAATACGCCATCTTCTCTATGACACACCTCCACATCCTCGGAGACAAAATTAATCGAAACCCTATATACAGTTCTAAGCAGGTACTTGAATTGTACTTTAGCTATCTACTCTTGCAAGAGCTTATCCGCGACGAGGAGTTAGCCCCTTTGGATTCTCAGAGTCCTCCATCTACTATCTTATATAATCCTTCCCCTGGGATCCGACTCTGTACGATTCCTAAGTTGAGCAAGGAGGCTGAGACCTACGTACATGAGACCTTCCAAGACGATATTTTGAAGGCGGTCGGTAATTGAGAACACCAGGTGACATTCGGGAATTCGTTTGCGCTTCTGCTATATCAAAAGTAGTAGAAAGGTCATCTGAGGGCAGTTGTCCTCGGAGGCTCTCTCATATAGCTAGTCGAACTCATAGAAAACAATTGGTACGTTTTACATAACTACCTAAGTTACTTTATGAATCGTAAGCATGAAGCGAGTAGACGTACCTGTTACCTTCATAGCATGTGGCTATTCAGCTTGACGCGGATATATGTCTCAGTACTTTCTGAGTTGACCTATCAGAAGATCTTTTAACACTTGAGTTGCATGCTCTTACTATGAGGGTACATGTATGACTTTGAATAGTCTAGAAGTATGTTTTCGGTTCATAGCGTAGTCTGAATGGTTGAGCATCATACTGGTCTCCTGAATATCGAGGTTATTCCCCAGTCTATTACCAATATAAACCAACTGGGTTGGTCAAACAGAGAGGGATATGACATAAAGTCGGTTTCTTATAACAAACTGCCAGTCACTTGATATAGCATTAAACTTTAGTGTCACAACAATCTCGAAGTCTTGAACGCCAGAAGATGTGGGCATGCAGACCGAGCGGCATCCTCTTTCATTTGACCACCACCACACCCTTTAAACATCGTCTACTCATTTAATAGCAAGTTGTTAACCGTCACAAGTGTCGCACAGTTTCAACCTATCTGGGTAGGTCATAGACGTATGTATCGATGCAAACAATTTCTCTGGTACCCAACAGCAGCTCCGAAGGAACCACAACGGGCCAGAGGGTAAGTGATCGAAGATGATTCCCTCTCTCCTCCAATTTCCCCTCCAAGACCTGCCATTGAAAAGCTCCGAAGAGCGACGAAAGCCAGAGTGAATATGAAGGATTTAGTTTTATGATGAGGAAAAGAAAAAGAAGAAAAGAGGAAAAGGCTGTCGCAAGAAATTTCACTTTTATTGGATTGGAAAAGTGGGACCAGACTCTTGCAGGTGGTCTATGTCTTAGCGGCATAACCTTTTTCCATTGAATCTGACTGGGCTTGATCTTGTCGAATAAGCGAATAAGCGTGAACCGCAACTTGCTTACATGCTAACCTAACCTAGCCATATGCTGATAATCGGACACTGGCCAATCAATAGCGTTATAATTGACGGTTGACGTAGATGGTGTGCTAACAGCTTAGGTACCCCACCATTTAGGTCTTGTTTTTAGGGACTTCTGACTCCCCTGTGCAGCGGTGACTACATACGTACATAGGTACATACTACAGTAACGGCGCTACTAGTAAATCGTAACAGTAAGAGCCAGGCTTTATCGCGCGTGTTGGAGTACCTACCTGCCACCGTCGTGTGGTTTTTTTGCCCCTCTTCCACCGACGCCGTTTGACTCAGGTACGTCTTTTACTCACCTCAACAACCTATCCTTTTTTTATTTTTTATAACTTGTTCTTGTGCTTTTCTTCTTTCTATTTATTCACGGTTTGCCAACAATAGAACTAAACCCTTAGATCCTTCCAATTTCACAATCAAATTGATTCAGATTGTTTTGCGCCATACCGTGCCATACCGTATTTATTTTCAGTCGCGATCCTGGTTCATCTACCCCGCCATCCCACTAATCATCACTTTTACTACTACTACTATCCTTCAACCCTGTCATCATGTCTGGACGAGGAGCACCCGGAGCCAATTCTCGTGGCCGTGGAGGCAAGTTTAGGAAGTTCACTCGAGGAGGTATGTCCTTAATTCCTTAGTAAAATTCCCTTTTAATCTGCAAGCTTTTGGTTACTAATATTCCTTTCTCCAGGCGGAAAGCACTTCTCTCGTGACCTTCGACCCCTTGACGCTGATGGTAATGAGATTAGCATGTGGAGCGCCAATTCCAAAAAGGATGAAGAAGACGACGACGAGGAAGAGAGCTCTGAAGAGGAAGACTCGGAGGACGACGACAATGCTGGTCCTTCTCAACAGACATCAGAGTTAACCCGAGAGGAGCGAAAGCAGGCTAAGAAGGCCCAGAAGGAGGCAGCTATTGCCAGAAAGAACAAGACTGTTCAAGTCGGTGACCTGCCTACCGATTCTGAATCGGAAGAGGAAGATGACGATATGCCTGCCAACCCGAACCACTCCAAAGCCGCACGAAACATGGCCAAGGCCCCTCTGTCAACTAACGATGTTGAGGAGGCTACCGAGGGTGTCAAGAACTTGACGACTATGAGCCGAAAGGAGCGCGAAACCCTAGAAGCCCAACAAGCCAAGGAGAGGTACCGCAAACTTCACGAGGCTGGCAAGACAGACGAGGCCAAGGCTGACCTGGCGCGTTTACGACTCATCCGAGAGAAGCGAGATGCCGAGGCTGCGAGAAAGCAGGTTCGTAATTATAAGCCCATAACACATATGATTATAGTCTACTAACGTGTGAATCTAGGCTGAGAAAGAAGAGAGAGAGGCACAGGAGAAGGCCCGAAGAACCGAGATCGAGGCTAAGGAAGCAAAGAAGCGCGAGGCTGCCTTGGGCAAGAGTGCTGGAGGAAAGAAAAAGGCAACTAAATGAACGTGATGTGATCATTCATGATGGACTGCTGTTGGCGTAGTCTGCATGATCTTGAATCATTCGGGCCATTTTCTTATGTTGCAGAATTATGTAGCCAACCTTGTCTACTTGAGCATTCGCGTGTCTTACACTCTATGTGATGCTGTACATAAGCTAGCAACTCAATAATGGATCAATGAGTTGGCATGGATGAACTTCTTGACCATTAAACTAAACCAAATATTGGTATAATGTGCACGACAGTATATATACCTGTCTATTCTAAACCCTCCTGTCTATATTAATTACATCCCAGGAGTAGCTAGACCACTCTGGCCCACACTCTCCTCCCAGAATTTATCAAAGTCGATGCCCTCGTTTTTGAACAAATCTCTTATTTCCTGTGCTGTTTTTTCCTGTCTATCTGTTGTAAAACCACCCGGCCGTGTTGATTCAAATTGTATTATCTCAATCCAGCGGTAAAATAGAGCCTCTTTGCCAACGGCAGCAAGTGCATCTCTGAACGCGAACACCTGGCGTCTCCTGTCGTCTTCCACATCATTCTCACCAACTGTCGTGTCCACGCAGAGCCATCCGTAATCCTCGTGGAAAAGCAGGATAACTGTCTTAAAGGCCTCGATCGCAGCCATTTTCTCGTCTACCATCATTGTGGTGTCAACCATGGCGGCCCAGTCCAGATCCCAGTCAGCAGTCATAAGGAGGTAGCCTGTTTTCTCGTTGGTAAGCATGGGTGCTGTCGCCATACTGATACGCGACATGAAAAGGCTCTTTGCCCCTTCGTCGTTGACAAAGTCGCCGGAAGTTTCGACCCATTTCCTACTCCTTCGCACGACAACCTCTTGGTTCCTGAACCCAACGTTCCACCGCCACATGACGGGGCTTCCATGCTCGTTGCCTATAACAAAATCGATTGGCCAGGACCAGACAAATACAAAAAGCAGGAAGTCCAGCATGAAAGAGAATGCGCGCTTGGCGACCTCGGGGATGATCTCGTTCCACTCCATCTCATCGACAACCATGGTGGTCTCGTTAAAATAGCCCAGAATCGACACGAAGATCCGTAGGTAGTAAGGCGCAATGTACCATATACGATACAGCAGGGCAGCTGTCAGGGCAATGTTCATGAGTATGGGCACAACAAAGATCTTGCGCTTGAAGTCCCGTTGGTGGCTGTCGATGTGTGTGATATATACGCACTTCTCATCGAGCGTCTCGATGAAAGGCTGCAGGACCTCAGGCGGCCTTTTGAAAGGGGCCGGCGGACCGGTATCCTTCTTCTTGGTGGAAGACGACTTCCCTGTGCCTCTTTGGCGAGCCATAGTAGTGAGAAATATAGAAGAATGGAAAAAATAGGAAAATAGAGAAATATGATTAACGATTAAAAATGAACAATAGGTAGGTCAGATAGGGGATGAAAGTTGTCAAAAACTCGGGGTGACAGGGATAGTGGCTGAAGCTACCCCCCCCCACCCCCCCTGTTTGGTCCTTGCCCCTGCATTTCTCGTGGCTGACAGATCCGTTTTCTCGGCGTTGACGGCCCCGCGGCTTCATCCCTTTGGCCCCATAAAAAAGCTTTTTGGTATCCGATTTGGCGTGCGTCGCAATACGGACCTTTTTATTTTTTATCTCGATAAACCTTGACTGGGATTATTTCTAGCTTCAAAAAGTCGCATGACGATATGAAGCAGCCACTTTCACCATGTTGAGAGCGAGAGTATCAGGGGTTAGTTCGCTCGCATTGCACTTATTCTAACTAATCATATTTGCTTTTGCTCCGAGTCTCGTTCTGAGCTAACTAATTAATATGTTGCATAGCGGGAGTCTTCAATATGCGCTTTCTGTCGGCATCGTCTTTCGCTACGGCCAGCGACGTCGCGGACCGAAAAACACTTTTCGAACACAGCGATTTTGAGAGGCGATGACGGATGGGGCAGCGGATGGGGAAGTCAGGTTAAGCCTCAGGCGCAGTCTAAGCCGGATGACTTTCTCTCTCCGCATGAGCTCCTAGCACGCCAGCAGCTACTTGCGAAACAGCAGGCCCAGCAGGCTGCCGAGGCTGCCAAGCCGAAGCCAGCTGATAATGGCCCTCGGGCGAGATGTATATGGAACGCACAAAAGCAAGAAGAGATTGAGAAGAGCCTTCATAGAGATGGCGTGACTATGCAAAAAAAACCCGTCTCCCCAAGAGAGATCAGGCCCAGTGAGTATCGCGCGAGGCCGGGTATAATTGCTAGACGTCCTCCGTCTCTAGGGACCAATCCAAGTACCCCTCTTATCTCCTTTCAGCCTACATCAGCTCCTAAACCCGATGTTCGGATTACCTTCTACGAGTCTTCAGAGCCTAATTCATCCCGTTCGCTGGAGTCCAACTATCCCAGGAGGGAGGTAGACAGAGGGTCAAATTCTAGACCTCTAGGAAGCATAATAACGAAAATAAACGGCGGACCTATCCAGGGGCCATTTTTGGGGAAAAAAATAATATCTATATCTCGTGATGATGGGCCCGAGCCAGTACAGGCAGCGAGCCAGGAGTCGGAAATACATAGTACAGAGCAGGATCGACAGCCGCAGCCGCCAGCGTCAGAACCGACGTCTCAAGCCGCTCCGAATAATACTGTTAAACCATCTCCTAAACCGGACAACAATTCGGGGTGGGGCTTATTAGCACGAAAGCAAACACCTAGTAAATCTGATGGTGAGGACTTTTGGGCTGTTATGAATAGGAGTGCTGGTGTCTTTTTAGGACCGAAGCCTCAGAACCCAACGGCTCCGGAACAAACTTCGAAAACGTCCGATGAAAATAATGACTTAAATTCGACGCAATCTCCTAAAAAAGACCATTGGGATGCTATGCAAAGCAACCCTGTTAAAGAAGAAAAATCATCCGATGTGGACGACTGGGGGAAAGAATTTGACAATGCGAAACCCAAAAGGGGAGCTAAGGTGGAAGAACCCTCGGCGGAAGAAGATGCAGAGAAAAAGTCACAGGTTATACCCGAACTCGATCCTGGTCCTGGAAATCAACACCGAGTCCGCGACCGCGATAAGCGACCGGATCCGTTTAATGAGGAGGGGCGAGGCGCAGGTCGTGATAAGCGTTCAAGGCGTAATTCTAGGCGCGGAAACGACGGAGATGACGAGGGGGGCTTTGACTACGACCAATACCAAGAGAAGCGTCGACAAAAAGCACAACGTAAAGCGGAACGCGAAGCTGAAAGGGCCGGTTCCGTACCCATCTTGCTGCCGGAATTAATCAGCATCCCAGCACTGGCCGAGGCGTTGAAAGTAGAACCCGATCTATTCTTGATTCAACTTGGCGAGTTGGGTTTCGAGGGCGTAACACTGGACAGCCTTATGGCAGGAGAAACAGCTGCACTTGTTGCGCAGGAGTATGGCTACGAGCCGACAGTCGAGTCTGGTGCAGAACATGACCTCAAACCTCGCCCTCCACCCGCAGACCCGTCGGTTCTGCCACTACGACCGCCGGTTGTGACAATTATGGGCCACGTCGATCATGGAAAGACAACCTTGCTTGATTATCTACGCAAATCATCTATAGCAGCTCAGGAGCACGGCGGTATCACGCAACGAATCGGTGCTTTCTCTGTGAAGCTCTCCTCTGGCATGCCCATTACCTTCCTCGACACACCCGGGCACGCTGCTTTCCTTACGATGCGTCAACGAGGTGCCTATGTGACAGATATTGTCGTCTTGGTAGTCGCTGCGGACGACAGCGTCAAGCCGCAAACTATTGAGGCTATTAAACATGCACGCGCGGCAAAGGTGCCGATGATTGTGGCTATAAGCAAGATTGATACGGATGGCGCCCACATAGATCAGGTTAAGCACGACCTCGCGCATGAAGGAGTTGAGATCGAAGACTTTGGTGGAGATGTCCAAGTTGTCTGCGTGAGTGGCAGGACGGGCCAGGGTATGGAAGACTTGGAAGAGAATATCCTTCTGCTCTCTGAAATCTTGGACCATCGAGCTGAACTCGACGGTCCCGCAGAAGGCTGGATCCTCGAGAGTAGCCTTAAGCCCTTAGGGAAGGCCGCCACCGTTCTCGTTAAGCGAGGCACTCTGCGACCGGGTGACTATATCGCGGCTGGTACCACGTGGGCAAAAATCCGACACCTGCGCAACGAGGCTGGTCTTGAAATAGACGAGGCGCCGCCTGGCACTCCGGTCGAAATCTTAGGCTGGAAAGATCTTCCTGCTGCAGGCGACCAAGTTCTCCAGGCACCCGACGAGGGCCGCGCTAAAGTGGCGGTAGAGTACCGCAAGGGCCTTCTCGAGCGGGAGAAAGATGCTGTTGCTCAGGCAAGTATATCCGAGGCTCGCAAGGCACTTCAAGAAAAACGTGCTCGCGAGAAGGCTGCCGCGGCTGCCGCAGCTGACGAAGAAGCGGTTGTCGAACCCTTACCTGAAGAAGATAACGGCCCCAAGATAGTCAACTTCGTAGTTAAGGGCGATCTCCACGGCTCTGTGGAAGCAGTATGCGCCGCGATCCAGGAGCTAGGCAATCACGAGGTGCAGCCGCAAATCCTGCGGTCAGGTACGGGCCCCATCCACGAGTTCGACGTAGAGCACGCGGCGGCATCAAATTCAACTATTGTGAACTTCGCAACGACGACGCCAGGATACATCGAGAAGATGGCGGAGGAGAAGGGGGTAAAGATCATGGACCATACCGTCATTTATCACCTAGTGGACGACGTCATTGCCTCTCTGAGCAAGTATCTAGAGCCTGAGATCACTAGCCGCGTGCTGGGTGAGGCGGAGGTGCTGGAACTATTCCCGATTAATATTAAGGGCCGCACGTATAAGACTGTTGCCGGGTGTAGGGTGCGCAATGGGCAGGTGGCGAAGAATAATCTCTTCCGCATTATCAGGGGTGGGAAGAAGATCTATGACGGTGAGCCCTCTCCCTTTTTTAATTCCTTTCCCTTTAATATCTTCTTTTCCCTCGGTTCTTTCCGTGCGAATATATATATCTATATTTATATATTCTCCCATCTCTTTTTACTAACGCCCCACGCAGGCAAACTCGAAACCCTAAAGCATCTCAAGAAGGACGTGGCGGAGGTGCGCAGGGGTACCGAGTGCGGTATCGGCTTCGCCGAGTTCCAGGACTTCAAGGTCGGCGACCAGATCCAGGCTTACGAGGAGATTAAGACCGAGCGTACCTTGCAGGTGCCTAACTCAGTCGGTTATACATAGCGACGATTATTAGGAGCTGGAGAGAGGTTGCATGAGAGGTTTAACTAAACTACCTGACTTGCAAGTAGACTATAAAACGACTTGCATGATATGGGCGTATGTGAACATGGATAGACGGTGCACTGCATATCGGAGGCTGGTTGCGTTCATATATATATATACATCGGTAGAAGAAGAAAAGAGCATATGGATAGGGTGATAAGGGGCGATGGTGTCTTGGGGGGCGGTACTCATTTCCCATCAGTTGTACCTTATTAGGCCGAGTAATGCATCTTAGGTACCTAGGCGTCGCCTACTCGGGTGCTTGTACATACATATAGATATGTATGCGGTGTTGTCGTGTATATACACCAGCCAGCTCTCCCAGATAAATGGGCCTTGGTGAAATAGGTACGGGATACAATAAATATAAATTAACCTAGTTATTGTAACTGACTAACTACCTAACTACCCAATGTATTCTTTTAGTTCTAGGGGATTTCGACCTTGGTATGAGTATATCCTGTGATTGGCAAGCATGAAATTCCCTTCATACATACCTCTATGAAGTAAAGCATTGCTGTTCCAGCTAGTTATCCAATTCTAGATTAGGTGCATAAGGTGGATTCTGGTTCAGCGGCTTGTTAATCAAGCGAGAGGAACGGGATGTGAGTTAGTTAGGTAAATAGATAGATAGATAGATAGGTAGACACTTGATACGAAGGGATAATATAGGTAAGTACGTAGGTATTAATTAGTTACTCTTCTCCTATAACGAGAACGGTACATATCTAATGGAGCAGACATTAAAGATTGTAACAAAGTATCTGAAGTATCGGGGAGCTAAGAATCTGGACTTATTCTCGAACTATACAAGATTCACGATTCACGATTCACGATTCACTATTAAACGAAAATAGGAAGTAGACCATGTAAAAGGGGCGTCAACGCGGAATTATTCATTCGAATCTACTATTAACCCCCACATTCATTTCCATTCCATTCCATTCCACTCCACTCCGACTCGCATTTGCACTTCTTTCCTACGCACATGCTCCATTCCTTACCCCTATATCCCTACATACCCATCCTCATCGTCGTCGAATCCACATCCACCGGCTCACGCAATGCTAAACTCGGGTATCTCGCCCATCTCGGCCTTGTTCTCGGCGCCCAGGGTGTAAGAAACGCGCCACCTGAGCTTGATGCTGTCGACCTTCTTGGCCCGGTCTCCCGCGTGGAACACCTCGACAGACTGGGACACGCCACCCGTCTGCTTGGGCTGCAAGGCGCGGCCCGTCTGCGGCTGGAGTTGGAGTTCGAAGCCCTGCGATTGTTAGCTACCTTTTTATTGGGATAGGGGTAATGAGGCTAGCTCACCTTTGTTACGGCTAGTTGGAAGTGAAGATTGCTTATAGGCGCGGCGGTCGTGTTGGAGAAGAGGAAGACTAGCGCGAGGGCGCTTGGCGTCCGTGACCTCGCTGCGCTAAGATGGATTTGCAGGGGACCGTCCTTAACGTCTACTCGGAGTTCCCTGGGAAGAGAAGGTTCGGGTGGTAACGCGGAAGAAAACGACCATTCGTCGTCGTCAGCTGCCGTAGGAGGCGCTGCAGGTTTGGGGGTAGCTGGCTTAGATGAGAATTGGGGAGAAGCGAGAGCTGCAAAAGGATCGCTGGTAGCGGGCGCCTTCTGGGATGGTGGCCTGGAGAATGAAGATTGTTGGGATAGATTTAGTTGCGGAGTGTTCGACTGAGATGCCGCGGGATTCGATGTGAAACCCGAAAAGGGGGAAAAGGGAGGAGGAGTAGGAGATGACGCTCTTGCGCTGTTATTTTGGGTTACCGATGACAGCAAAGCAGGCCCCGGTACATCTAGATGAAGATTAGCGATACCCTTCATTTTAATAGAAAGTAGATCTGACATACTCTGATTTGCCCCGAAGCCAAGTGATATTCCACCACCTTGACCGAAACTGTTACTGCTATCCCCTAGGGAGAGGCCTAAAAGATCGTTCTCGAGACCGCCAGCTTGCGAACTCGACCCGGCAGCGTTGTTACCAGAACCGTTCGCTGCAGCATCTCCATCAAAGTCGATTAACGACAGCTCGCCCGCGGCCGACGTCGACTTCCCAGCTGTCGTGGATGGTGTGGCGACGTGTGCACCTGCGGCTATCTTGTTGGCGCCTTCTATATCGCCCTTCTTCAAGAGCTTCCACCGCTCGACTGTTCTGTGTATACTGTCGTTAATCTCGAATAACTTGGCCACAGCCTCGTGGTCGTCGGACTCCTCTTCGCACATCTTCTGGATCTTGGGCTGCGCGCTTTGGAGCGACGAAGCTAATTCTTCGAATACGTCGCCATCCTTCATAGAATCGCCCGGCTTGAACGCTGCTAACCTCTCCTCTAGCAGGCGCGCCTTGACTTGGATTTTACCAACTTCCTCAGCTGCCTTCGCGCGATAGTCTGTCTTGGACCTTGTGTCGTAGCCGGCCATAATCTTCATGAGTCGATTTGCTTCTTGTAAGTCTTCCGGGGCACCTCTCCGTATTAGTTCTTGTAGCTTGGCGGACTGTGCTTCTCGCTCTTCTTCCTCCATTTCCTCAGCCGATTTGAGATTCTACAACGGTTAGCTAGATCAGTCGACACAACAAAAATGCGTCGTAGCCTACTCACGTCACTCGGATTCAAAACGGCAGCGTCATCCCTCCGGACCTCGGGAAAGTGGTAACCCTTGTAACTCAACAAACGGTGCATGTCCCGAATGAAGCCCAGGTCTTCCTTGTACCGGCTGGTTTCGCATATCGTGCTCCTCCATTCTTCAATAGCTTCCAAGATCTTAGATTGGACTTTGGTATAACGGAGGGGAGGCCTCTCGGGAAACCTTCTCACAAGCTCGTTTAAGAACTCCTTAGTACTGATCTGGAGATGGAAGGGGTATCCGCAGTTTTTGACGCATATGTCAAGAAGGCTAATGGCCAGGAGGCTGACGTTGGGGTTGCGCGAGTTGATATAGTTGACTATGGCGACTGCTGCCTCTCGTGGAGCGCTGCCTTTCTTGCTATTGATCAGATCCGAGATTTCGAGGTTTAGCGCAAGGTTCGGTTCGTAGTTCTCGGGACTGCAGGCGCTCGCTATAAATCGTTGAAGCTGAGACGGTCTCGGAAAGCCCATCTCGCTCCAACGATCTCTGGCTGCCGCTCGAGCGGAGGCGGCCTCCATCTTGACGGGTTCAAATCGGGTTGTCACAAGAGGGAACTGATATAAGACGATAGACGATATAATTGAGTTTAATTGGGTTTATTGCAATGCGCTCAAGGCCATAAGCTCATCCATAGATATAAGGTGGCGCGAGATCGACGATTGGTATTTTTATTCATTGGCAACGATGATGTTTTGCTGCGGCAGAGTGATGAAGCTCAAAAAGGGTTCATTCGCTAAGATGCTAGGTTAAGATGTTACGGTGTTAATGCGGCGGCGTCTGCGTCCATTAAACTAAATTCACTAACTAAACTAAACTCACTAAATTCATTAACTACCTATCTACCTAGTTAAACCCAGTCGCATCCCACTTCCCACTTCCCATTTCCCATTCGAACCTTGGCTTACCTTGGCTTGTGGCACAGAGCTGTGGCAGCGGCGCGGCGAAGACGAAGGAACCCGTACCTGAGAAAAAGGTATTACCGGACTATCGAATTTATCCGCTGTACGAAGTACCTAGGTTAATCTAGTATTTTATTTTAGATCCACATGCAATTCACGGATCCACTGCTGTACCTACCTGTATGTACCTACCTATGTAAACCCCGCCAACAGCCAGGTTCAATTTCGGGGTCCAGGATAGATATCTGCCCCACGCTTCGTCATTCAACATCATTTAACATCATTTCGAAGAATCATTAGTTCCTGTCTATAAGTACGATTGGGACATACTCCCTAGGTACATAGGTAGACACTACGAGGTTACAATATACGGCTACCACCTCCTTACTTCCGTGATCATTAAAAAACTATCCCAAAGACATGGTTCGCCACAAGAAAGACAAATTCTCATCTCGAGGTGGAAAAGGTCATGGAAACGCCCGGCCTCGACCGCGCACTACCGAAGAGGATTCCGAACAGGGTACAGATTCTTCTAAGCCTGCCTTTAAAGCTGCGTGTTGGGATTTGAATCATTGCGATCCGAAGCGATGCTCAGGGAAGAAGCTCATACGACTCGGCCTCATGCGAGACCTTCACCTAGGCCAAAGACACAACGGTGTCATTATCACGCCTAACGGGAAGCACAAGCTCTCTCCGGCCGACAAGGAGCTAATGGATCTGTACGGTGCCGCGGTAGTTGAGTGCTCCTGGGCGCGAACGCAGGAAGTTCAATGGAACAAAGTTGGCGGCAAATGCGAGCGACTACTGCCGTACTTGGTCGCTGCAAATACCGTCAATTATGGAAAGCCTCTGCGGTTGAACTGCGTAGAGGCTCTGGCTGCTTCGTTCTACATATGTGGACATCCCGATTGGGCAGAGGAGGTTCTACGGCCATTCAACTACGGCGAATCTTTCCTAGCTATCAACTCGAAGGTACTGAAGAAATATGCGGCTTGCGCAGACGAGGACGAGATTGTGAAGACTGAGAAGGAATGGATGGAAAGATTAGAGCGGGAGCACGCCGAAAGCAGAGAAAATGCCGACGACGACGATTTATGGAAAGGCGGCAACGTTAATCGGCGTATTATCGTTGACTCGGACGACGAAGAGGAAGAGGAAGAGGAAGACGATGATGACGAGGAGGAAGGTGAAGACGGAGATAATAATAGTGTCGATGGGATCTATCTAGGTAAGAAGCCGACTCAATGGCCAAAACTAGGGAAAGGCGCAAAAGATCAGCAAGGAAGAGGGGCCAGCAGGGACCCGTTCGATATTTCAGACGACACCGACGACGACGCCGAAATGGAGGAGATTCGACGCAAGGTGCTCGCGTCAAAGCCGTTCGCCAATGCAGATGAGACGGACCGAAAGCCGAAGCCGCAGGCGATTCCGCCCCCGCTCCAACAGCAAAGATATAAAGTCGACTCCGATGCAGAACCAGACTCGGATAACGGATCGGACAACGAGGGGGATGATGCTTTCGATAATATTATCGACGCCACACCCGTCACGGACAGGACAGGGCTGGCGAGACTTGAGAAGGAGAGATCGAGAGCGAATGTTATGAGTCGGACGTTTTCGTCGGGTACTGCAGAGGCACCGAAGAGATGGTGATCGGATAACTATGAATAAATGAAGTGTATCTGGTTATTCCGTCACTCATATTAAAGCTTCTCGGCTAATACTGGTGCTATGGGGTCTCTTTTTCAAGATGTGTTCCCGATATCCGCGTAGGTCTTAGTATGCTAGTACGGGAATAGTCCTGCCGTAGATAACACCGTAACTTTATGGTGATGTGCTCTTTGGAAGGTAAGTAATCGAGTGCAGTTGAGGTAAGCTTTCTCTTAATATATCATCTAAGCCACGTATATGCCATATGAGTGCTCAACATTGCTTGGGTAACAAGTACATCATATACCCCTTGATTATCAGGACCATCCCATTACTCTGGATTCTCGGATATTCTTTCTTTGCTACTAAGTAGAAATCGACATTACATCGGGTATGTTCAACATTACAAGTTGGTATATACAAGCCATAAACCAGATTCCTATTCTGCCTCTACCCCCCCGGCCCTAATCAAGGGCTTGACAAGCCCCCTAGGGCTACGAGGAAGGCTGTTAGGATCGGGGCGAGGAATTCGTCGGGGCCTTGGGCGGGTTCGCGGGTAACGGTGTATGCGGAGAGGGGGGAGGTGGTGGGCGAAGCGGGCTTGGAGCGTGGCGTCTTGGGTGTATTCGTGGTAATCGATGGTTTTGAGTTGTGAGGGGAGGGCGCAGAAGGTCTCGGTGGCGATGTATTGCGTTGACGCTGGGGAAGAAGAAGATGTGGCTTTCTTGGACTTGGATCCCCGTTTTGACTTTGGCTCGGGACGGGAGATCTTCTCTATAAGTGCGGTCGAGAGACAGTCCCGGAAGATCTCGTAATTTCTTTGCTGGTCTTCTGGTAGTGATGTCATGTTGGCATTTTATCTGAGATTATCCAGTAGTTATGCTGTATTTATAAAGTCGAGATCTGTATATAAGAGTAATAAATTATAGAATAGAGATGCACGTCTATATAAGGGATGTAAGAGGGGTCTTGGTATAATGAATCCGAAGTATATACGCGGTGATGCCCGATTTATTAACTCCTATATTAACTCCTATATCTACCTCGAATTAGTAAAGATGAAAATAGAATAGAATAAACACAGCTTGAAGCTATCAATTCACCTATCCCAATCCAGTATATAGCTACCCCGCATGAACCGGCGAATATATAGCTCATGACAACTCATGACGATGACAAAGCGTATGAGATCCCATCAACAAATCTTGGGTGAGGTATAGAGTGAGCGTGCCGTCTTCTTTCGCCAATTGACTCATTCCCCGGGAAACTCCATAACGGACACGGTTCTTAATGGCAGCTAAGAAGACAGCTATTGCGTTTGACCTATATGGGACGTTACTGTCTACCGAGTCGATAGCTCATGAGCTGGCCAAAATCTACGATGAGGATAAGGCTAAACAATTGGCCGCCTTGTGGCGACGGTACCAGCTAGAATATACGTGGCGGATTAATAGCATGGGTAGGGCTGTTTCGTTCTACTCTCGACAGCTACGCCGAATATTCTCTAACCAGGGGTACTAGGTGAATATAAGCCATTCAGCGAGATAACGCACAATGCGTTGGGTCATGCGGTAGCAGAGCATGGGCTGACACTTTCGGCGAAAGATGCCGATACTCTCATGAAGTCGTATGATGCATTACATGTCTTCCCCGAAATTCCCTCCGCGTTGAAGCTCTTGGAAAACAATAAAGATTCGGTGGATGCCTACGTCTTTTCTAATGGCACTGATGAGATGGTTGGGAACTCGATTAAAACCTCGCCGGAACTAGGGCCGCACGTAGAGAGGTTCAAATCGTTAATTACAGTTGATAGCTTAAAGTGTTTCAAACCGGACAGGAGGGTGTATGATCATCTAGTCGAACAAGTTGGAAAACAGGGGGAAGCAGGTGATGTTTGGGTTGTAAGCGCCAACCCGTTTGATATTGTCGGCTCGAGGGCAGCAGGGCTAAAAGCAGCATTTATCGATCGGGTTGGTACAGGTTGGATAGACCGGCTGGATGAAATGCGCGCACCTGTAGTCGTAGCATCGGGGGTTGACGAAGCAATTACCTCAATTCTGAAGGATTAGTGTATTAAATTACATATAGCTCTTATATATCCGCTGAAAAGGGTATCGTCAATCTGGTATCATGAGACCGTGCTAACGCAAGAATAAGAACATCTACACAATCTTATGGAAACTCTCAAAGAGCTTGATGATCTCCTCGGCGAATAGTTCCGCGTCACCGGGATACCGAGCACTGATATAATTGTACTGCTCGTCCTCGACAGTAAACCTGGAAATAAACAGTGAGCGAAGGAGACTAGGCTATAATACGATCGTAGCCTTAAAGATTGAGAGGCGAATGAGAACTTACGGGCCGGGGTTTAAGCTGGCCTTGAACTGAGCTGGGTCGGCAAGAACCTTTTTAATCTGTGAATTGGCTTAGTTGAATATTTACATCGACATCGGTTCGCAGAGGTTTGGCTTTCATACCGATTGCTCAACATCTTCGCTTCCATGACCGTACGTCTTATAGTAGTCACCGAGGACTGCCCGGGTACTCCAGTACGCGGCTTGTTCGAATTTCGCCGGCAATGCTGTCGTGATGCAATCCCGTATAACACTGTTGCCGTTGGCATCTTTTGACTCGGACAGGACCATAACTCCATGGCACACGGCGGCAATAACCTTCTTACTCGGCTTCTTAGTCTTGGGGAAATAGTCTACTACAAGATTATGCACGATAGGCGACTCGATGATTTGCTTCATTCCCTTGTCGTGACCTCCCGGGAAGACGACGAGATCAAAGGGATCGAGGGAGAAGCCAGGAGCAGACCACGAGAGCGGGTGGCGCATCTCGTCGCTCACAACCATCTTCTTGTACAGGCGGATAACTTCCTTCTTTGCGCCCTGCTAGGGTATTAGGATAGCTTGCTCAAACATCTGGTAAGCCGTCACGAGCCGTCATGGCGTACGAGTAGCTTTTGAGTAAATCCCTCCAGCATTTTCTTGTCGCATCGTGGATGGTTTCCGTTCTCGGTCGCAAACTGGACTTCATAGCCCGCGTTCTTGAATGCGGTGTAAGGTACGGCAGTTTCTAGAAGGGGCTGGTTAGAGATGGAACTGTGCATGCGATGCGCAAGATAGATATCTCAAAGGCGACGCACCCGTGGGGTCGTGGCCATAGTCGGCCATCATGATGAGAACCTTCGGTGTTGCGACCGAGGTCCCCGGCGAGGTAATCTGCGGCTCTTCAATTATCTTGTCCATTTCTCCGAGTTTGTATTGACTTGGCTTCGATTGAATTACGAGTCAAGAGATTAAACAGGTCGGGTTGAAGTTGACGAAAGAGAATTGACGTAACCACTAGCTACTACGCTTAGAAAGCTTAGAGGCCTACGTAGGGCACCTACCTAACTGAGTGGTAGCGCTAATTAGGTACCTACCTTAGGTCTTAGGTAGGTGCTGCGACTACAACTACCTAAGGTACCCCGAACACGGGCCGAAACAAGTCACATGGCATTTTGTTTGTCCATGGTGCGACCTAACTTTGTAACACATCCCTAAGCCTTAGATTTTTATAGCAGTAGCTGCCTGCTATGAGTAAAAGGCCAGGTACCTACATACCTCGGAGAAAAGCAAATACGTAAGACGTGGCTTGTGACTGTTCGGTAAAGCTTAGGTAATTGCAGCTTCTCGGGATAGGTTCCAGTTAACGAATCAAGAGGCCTGATCAGAATAGAAGGGACACCTTTATAGAAAAACTCCCTCTTATTTCATGTCTCCAACCCTCCACAACTCAAAATGCCCCCAGCGTCTAAGCTCAGATGACCCGAATTATGACCCGAATTATGACCAACTCACACGTCGTATACTACTGCTCATTGGTTACAATTATAATTATGGACGCCAAGAAGCGAAGCTCCTCAGCCCTGTAAGATGTCGTTATCTAGGGCCCTAGCCACGATGTCACGGTCCAGTAGCCACTTCGTGCCGTTGCCGACACCATGCACCATGGGTACTACCGTGCACTTTATCTCTTACGTCTGGGGGCGAGGCTTGGTTAGTGTATGTAGCTGAGAAGATGCGAAGATGGGTATCCTGGGGGTTATAAAACAATGCTGCACTCCCCATCCGGAGTCGCTCTTTTCTTCTATGGATTTTTCTGTCTATTTTAGCTGCGTTTTCGTTGCTATGGTTGGAGGTCTTCTCTACTTTTCAAATATATTCACGAGATCAAATGGAGCGAAATCAGGTCCCATTATGGATCGTACAGAGTTTGTCGGCTCGCAGGTCGGTGGCGAGTCCGTTATTAACTACAGCTATACCGACATGCCCTGGCGGTTGATGATGTGGGATGTGAGATACTTCTTCACCTTCGCTTGGGCTCTACCTTGGGTAATCTGGCCTCTCCGACCCTGCGACGGAGACCATTTTGACGAGCTTTCGTTTACCTGGGAGAACATATGGTGCATGGTCATCCATGCGATTCTTGTGGTCCTTCAGTTGTTATTCATATTAACGCTGCCGTTAGCTGTCCTATTTCCGGTTTGGATGGTGGCACTGGGAATGACGGTCTTCTTTACTTTGAACTGGCTTTTATGTCTCAACTTGAATGGTAAAACTATTACCTTCACCTCGGATCCGAAATATGCGCCCGCTCTAGAAGAGCATGCACATGAGCAATGGATTTTCCTAAATGGCGTTGCTGTCGGGTATGTGTGACCCCATGACAATCTGGTGTGTGCCATTTTCCGCTAACCCCAAGAACCAGAGAAGCTTGGCTTAGAAGCAACATCAATCGTTTGGCTCTCACTTTCAAGCGACCAGTTATTGGTGTTCACAACCGAACCACGGGCATCATATTTGACGTTGTCGAGTGCTTAGTACAACGTAATTTCGGATACGCTACAAGCGACATTCGAGCGGCTTATAAGATTATCAAGGAAAAGCTATATAACCCACAATACACCAAGGTGGTTTTCATTTTACACTCACAAGGTGGAATAGAAGGCGGTTTGGTCCTAGACTGGTTACTTCAAGAGCTACCACAAAATCTCTTATCGAAGCTTGAGGTGTATACCTTTGGGAATGCCTCTAATCATTTCAACAATCCGCACCGACATGTCCTCTCTTTGGATATGGAAAAGAAAAGCTCGAAAGAAGGCAGTCAGATCCATACTAACATTGCTGAAATCCCCCTCACCGACTCTCCAGTCGAGGCCCAGTCATTATCGTTGAGGAGGCGACCGTCAAACGGTAGTGGAGCTTCGTCTGAAGTTAATAGACGGGTCCCGACGCTCACCTCGCTCTCAAAAGAGTCAAGCGCCTCGCATGCTACGGCTTATACTGTGCCGGCATCCGATCGCGCGATCGCTCATGTCGAGCATTACGCCCACACGACCGATTTTGTCGCTCTATGGGGAATTCTTCATTTCGTAACAAACGAGCGCGCATCTCCGGAAATGCCTCGATATATTGGACGCGTATTCAAACACACTTCTCCGCGGGGCGGACATCAATTCTCCCAGCACTACCTGAACGGGATGTTTCCGCTCAAACGAAATGCCAAGGGGGAATTTACGGGCTGTGCTGACCGCAATGACTTTATGAGCAGTGTTATAGAAGTGGCTGAAGAGGGCACAGAAAAAGATGACCTGCGCGAAGCTGTCGAGAATAGCTGGTCCTTGATCGAGCTTGCTGGACGAAAGGGAGGTATTGTTCAGGGTGAAGTTGTAGTACACGGCAGCTTTTACGAAAATAAAGATGATATCGATGACGGAAAGGTCCGAGTAAAGGATCTAAGTCGATTGTGGCAGTACCGAAATGGAAAGAGCCCACCCGATCTTCCTAGGGATGTCAGGAGGATGACGCTGGAATAACGAAGAGCTATGATATTGTTCGAATGGAAATGAGTTTCGGAAGCAAAGATTTTTATTTGGGACCAACTATGGCGTTCGCTGATTTCAGTAGATTGCATCCTTTTCAATACCCAACCGAAAGCATAGCCGGATAGAGCATCTTAGCATAGGCAGGTAGTTTTCTAAACTGGGATAGACTGTGGCGTTATCATGTATACTTGATCTTAAACACCCAGCAGAACTCGTCTTTATCCAGCAGTGTCTCAGTAACCTCGATCTTGAGTATCGTCTCGCTACCGCACCCGGTTACTCGCCATGTCAGGTTCTCACCACCCTCAACGGCTAACAAACTAACCTCATCGCCGCCTACTACTGGCACCGGTGCCGCAATATTAACAACACCGCCTTCAAGCACCGGACGTTCTAAGAAAAGCACATAGAAGGCCTCATCCGTCTGCGTAAACCTAACATCCGCCCCCCCAGCAATTTCGCTCTGCACAAACCAATACGTCGTATTGAAAATCGCCTCCTCATGCCCGCTAATCCACCTCCCGGCTTCTAACAAGCTATCCACCTCGGCCTGCACCACCGTTCCATCCGCGCGGGGCCCAAAATCTAGCAACAGATTCCCGTTCTTCGACACGATGTCGACAAGCGTGTAGATTATACTGCTGGCGTTCATGTAGGCCGAGTCGGGCGTGGCCTGGTTGTAGCCGTAGCTGTACGGATCCAAACCCCGGTTGCTTTCCCACTTGCGGCGCTGCGCGGACGCGAATTGCTGGTACTCCGGGGTGTCGAAGTCGGCGGCTTGCGGGACCCCGCAGCGGCTGTTGGTGGTGACTTGGCGGTCGGAGGCGCGCGCGGCGTTGTACCATTGCGCGGCGAATAGGGCGGTTGTGTTGGCGGCGCCGCAGTCGCACCAGAGGATGTCGGTGTGGTAGGTATATGCTAGGGCTTCGATTTGCGGGAGCATGACGTCTGATAGGAAGTCGGATACGGGGATGTGACCTGTGTACGGCTCGGTGGCCCCGGTGTACGGGTTTGTGGCGATGATCCCGGGCCAGGTGTCTGTGCCGTAGGGGCCGTAGGACGGGTTGAACCACTCGGGCAGCGAGAAGTACGTGCCGCGCTTGAGATGGGGTTGGTACTGGGCCGCGGCGTCGAAGAGCTCGCCGAGTAAGTCCCGGTGCGGGCCGTAGTGCAATGCGGAGCGGTTGCTGGTGT